TATGCTTTCCACAAATAATAAGCGTTGTATTACATGATGTACCAATTAGTGATATTAATGAATTATTTATTAATTTGAATATTCATATATCAGTTGCTAGTCAACAACAATTGGATACATTAAAATTAGCTGGTATTATGCCAATGACAGCTGATAGTTGTGGTTTAATAACAAAAAGTGATGCAGAACATTTAGTTGCTAAATTATTACCACAATGTAGTGGTTATCGTTTAGCAACAACAACAACAATAACAGCACCAACAACAACAACAATAGCAGCAGCAGCAGCAACAACAACAACAACAACAGCAATGATTAAATCATATGATGAACTAATGATGAATGATGCTATACCAGTAATGCATGATTGCTTTGATGGTTGCACTGGTATATTAATACCAATGCTTAATTGTGATGAACAAATTGAATGTACCCAATGTAAATTATTATTTACTGGTGAAAAATTTGTCTCCCATTCACATTCCATCCAACAAATTCAACGTATATGTCATTGGGGTTTTGATTCATCAAATTGGCGACATTATTTGCATTTACCAGAATCATATGAAAATGACTTAAAAGCATTGCAAAAACTTGAATTATACAAATATCCAACAATGATGCATCGTCTTGGTAAACGTTCCGCTTCAAATGCATTTACGGTAAATTTAATTTTCTTTTCTCTTCTCTTCTTTTTATTTTTTTTTTCTTTTTTTTTAAAAAAAGAAAAGTTTTAATTTTTAATTGGTAGTAATTATTTGATTATTTTTTTTAATGTAAAAAAGAATTTTTTTGATTAATTAATTATTGTGAGAAAATTATTTATTATAATAACAAATTATTTACATATTTAAAGTCTCTTTTCTACTATATTAATTTTAATAATATTATTAGAGTTAAGAAGAGAAGAAAATTATTGAATTTTTAGTAGAGTTTATTGAATAGAAATAAACCAAACAATCGTTTCTCCCAACATTCATTCATTCATTCCTCTTTGTCGGGTCATTTTCAGCTCTAACTTCTTCTTTCAATGATCAATGATCAGTAATCTTTGATCATCGATCTCTTAATCATTTTTCTATTAAAATATTATTTAATCATCTTTCATAGTCTCCTCATTTGCTTGCTATATAATAGCAAAATTAGTTAATATTATTTGCCTGATAATAATTAGCTTTTTTTAGTATCATTCCCTTATGTATGTATAAAAATTTTTGTGATTCAATAATTAATAAAAAGCGAGAGAGGAAGAGAGAGAGAGAGAGAGAGGGAGAACGAAAAAGTGGAGATTGAGAGAAATGAAGAAAGATAGAGATAGAGAGAGAGAAAAAAAAATAGCAAAATAAGAAAGGAATTTTTAGCTTTAAATTTCATTTAAAATTTGAATTCATATAATAAAATTTGAAAAAATAAAAAAATTATTATTTAGTATGAAGAAAAGACATATAAGAATGATTTGCAAATGCAATATTTTTTCATTTTATTTGATAATATATTATTTCAAATTTTTTTTTTTTTTTTTTAAATATATTTTAAAAAAAGAATGCAGTAATGGAAATTATCATTTTTTTTTTTTTTTTTTTGAAATATTTCCCATTCATTATTCATTCCATCTATCTATCTATCTATCTATCAATCGATCTATTTACTGATTGCTGATAATAGACGTTGGGACGCTATACAGTTTAATAATAGATACTGTTTACACTTTTCTTTCATCATCTTTATAAATTGTTTCGTTCAATTCTTTTTTTTTTTTTCTTTTTATCGAATAAAAATAAAAATGGAAAGAAAAAAAAGAGAGAGGGGAAAGAGAGTGAAAGAAAAAGCAATAAAAATGAATAATACAGAGATAAAAGTAGAAATGGAGAGAAATTTTAGTTCGTTTTGTTATGATTCAAAAAAAAAAGTTGGACTGGTTTTTCGTACTTTGCACTTTTTCATTCTTTTGCATAAATTTTAAATAATTTCTTTTTCTCCCTCTCTCTCTCTCTCTCCCTCTTTTTCTCAGTTTATTCTCTTTCTTGTCTTTTTATTAGCTAACAAAGAGCAAAAAATAATAGCATTATTGGTTAAAAAATTTTAAAAAAAAAAAGAAAAGAATTCATGCAAAATTGTTCAATTTTCTTTTTTCTTTTTACTTTATTGAAAAGAAAAAAATTCGTTTTTTTTTTTGGTAAATATTAACTAATGTTTTTTTTTTTAAGTAAAAAATGTAAAAAATAAATAAGTTAGGAGTAAAAGTAATGCAAATAAAAAGAAAGAGAGAGAGAGAGATAGAGAGAGGGAAAAAGAAAAAGAAAGAATGATGAAAGAGGAGAAAAAAAGTGCAAAATTATATTATTATTATTATTTTTTCATTTTTCTTTTTTTTTATTTCACTTATATATATATATATATAAATTTTTCTTTTTATCATTATTACACTAGTTAGTGTAATAAAATAAAACTGAAAGTGATAAAAGTTCAATTTGAATATTATTTAAATGAATATTATTTAATGTATCATATCATTGTGTATAGTAATCCTAAGAAGATATGCTAGAAATGTGATCCTAAAGCTTACAAATTTTCTATGCTTAATTCAAATAGCTAATTTAGCTTAGTGAACTGATAGCTTTAAGAGGAGCAACTGTGAAGTACAAGTTTAGTACTATGATGTGATATGATACATTTGTGCATATCAGTAATGTTCAAATGAATGTAGAGGAAGTAAATTACGAAAAATTCACATCATTATCATTGTTGTTATCATTATCATCATTATTATCATTAATATTATCATCATTGTCATTATCATATTTATCTTGACTCATTGCGAGAAATTTATATTTCAAGGAAAATGATGGGAGAGAGAAAAAAAAAAGAAGGAAAGGAAAGGAATATGATATTACTTTCCTTTTTGCTCAAAATTTTGTCAATCTTTCTTTTTTCCTTTTTTTGATTAAGATGAAAATTATGATATCACAATGAAGCAAAAACAAAAATAACAAAAATGAGAAGAAAAAAAAGTGGAAAATGGAAAAGAATTAATCAAACATTATTGCTATGATAAATAAGTTAAAGTATTTGAAGATTTTTCTTTTCAAACATTTAAATTTCAAATATTTCAAACAACATTTACAGTAATTTTCACCATTGCTTTTTTCCTCTTTTCTTTTCTGATTTTTTAATTTAATAGGATAACATTTGTTTTATACATATCCATATGTTATTATTTGTGTTTTATAATTAAACTTTTACAACAAAATATCGCTATCGTTGTTATTTATTGCGACACGGTAGAAAGTGATATTATATAAATAATTGTAATTAATAATTAACAATGATAATATTAATGATAATAATAATAATAATAATAATAATATTAATAATAATAATAATAATAATAATAATAATAATAATAATAATAATGGTAATAATAATAAAATTATTAACCAGCAATAATAATCTCCATTTATCACATGCTTTTATTAATGATTTGTGTTTTAAATTCAGTTAATTTCTTAAAAACACTAGTAAAAATAGTCATGGAGGAGGATTTTTGATGATATGTAATTTCTTTCTTCTTTTTTTTCCTCTTTCTCCCTCTCCCTTTCTCTCTTTGTCATCCTTTTTTTTATTTTATTTTTATTATTATTTTTTTTTTTAAATTTTGCTTTCATCAGCATTTTTTCTTTTCTACTTTCAAGTGTATAGAGTTGGATTTTTTTTTTTTTTTTTTTGTAGAAATCATAATTTCTAAATTTTTTCATGGAAATTTTCTTGATATTCCATATAATTGTAAATTTAATAAAATCATTTAGCTTCTTTTTCCTTTTTCTTTTCTCTTCTAAACATTAGAAATGATAAATGTTGTCTTTTTTCTTTATTTTGTTATTTTCTTCAAAAAAGCAGTACTTGGCATAAACAATTTAGAAACAACAGATGCGAAATGATGGAAATGATTGGGGGAGGTGATTGATTGATTAGGATGATGTGGAAAATTTATTTGAATTAAAAAAAAAAAAAAAAAAAAAAAGGTGGAATGTTAGAAAGGAATGGAAGAAGAAAAAATGCGAATAAAAAAGTAATATCGATTTAACAAAAAAAAAAAAAGGGAAAGAATGTATTATCATCATTATGTGATAAGAAAAATTTTAGTAAGATAACGAAAATACAATATGAAAGTAGAAGTGAAAGTGAATGATAAAATTTAATTTAGATAGATGGCTATATTATTAATAAAAATATATTATATGTTTATAACTAATTAATTTTTTTTTTTGCCTTTCATTTGAAAATTAAAAATTAAAAAACCAAAAAAAAAGAGAACGACACAAAAACAAGAAGAAATAAACTTTAGCAGATTTTGTGATTTATGATTAGTATGATGAAAATTTTAATTTTAATGTAGTACTTTAAAAAAGTAATGCTGATAAATTTTTGATAAGTTTGCTTAATGAAAAGAATATCTAATTTAAAATTTTAAAATTAATAATGATAGCAATTAGACAACAACAATAATAATTATATAGATTATTGTGATAATTATATATATGTAACAACAATAATAATTATATAGATTATTGTGATTATATATATATAAATAATAATTATATAATTTGCATAATAATTATAATATCTTGAAAGGTAAACGATAAATTAGCTATGGATATTTTGAGAAATGATATGATATGATATATGTTAATGGTTGAATTAAAAATTGACTAATTTTACGATGAATATTTATTGAGCATTGAGAACAATATTATATTAACAAATTTTAACATAAAATATAACATAAAAATATGGCGAAGAAAAAAAAAGAAAAATCAGTTAAAAGCTTTTTCTTTTTTTTTTTCTAAAATGAAGAAAATAAAAATTTTATATATTAGTTATTTTCGCTTTCTTATTTTCTATTTCTTTCTATTTTTTTTTTTTTTGTTTTTTTAACTTTTTAATTTTTTATTTTTCAGACAATTGAAAGTGGTAGCTGCTCAAAAGTGGCAAATTTAGCAATGACAACAGCACCATCATCATCATCAACAGCAATAAAATCTATTGAAACTGAAGCTGAAATTGGAGGAATTGGTATTGAAATTACTCCAACAATTACTACATCATCGATGAAATCATCAATGAATAATGATTTTAATGAATATAATATTTTAAAATTTTCTACCACTACTACTACTACTACTGCTACAACTCCTATTACTATAACCAATACATATGCAACAACAACTATTGCTGATACAACAACAATAACAGTAGTTACACCAACAATTCCTTCAGCTACATTAACAACAAATTCATCATCATTTTTACCCATACAAATACCAGTAATTAATGATCAGTCATCGTCATCATCAGCATCATCTGGTATATCATCAATAAATTCTCAATTGCAATCACTTCTTGCGCTACAGCTTATTACCTCACAATTACCTCTAGCAAATGAATCATATCGTTTACCTATTCTTACAAATCTTCCATCTCATCTAACATCTGATATTCGATGGAAATCAATTTATGATATGCAATCATCATTATCATCATCATTGTTATCATCATCAGTACCATTAATTAATAATAATAATAATAGTAATAACAATAATAGTAATAAATTAACAGTTGATATGAGACAAATTACGGATGAAAATCTGCCCAATAAATATACACCTATGTTATCTACTGCTACTACTACTACTAGTACAACTTCTAATAATACTACTATTTCTACAACAACTACTAATAATACTGCTACTGCTACTACAACAACAAGAACAAATTTTGATATACCAATAACATCATCAACAACAACTACTAGCAAAACAGGTATCATATGTGAATAATATTTGTTTTATTATTTCTTTTCTTTGTTTTTTTTTTTTTTTTTTGTTATTTAAAATTTTCGAAGAAAAAAAATGAAGAAAAATGGAAAATTTTTTCAACAATTGGTTTATAAAAAAAGAATAGAAATAAAAAACTGACTGACTGACTGACATAATTCTTTTTTTTTTTCTTTTAATTTGTATATGAAATGAAATTAAATAGAATATTATAATACATTTTATAGCAATATCATTGGAAAAATTATTGGATCAAACATTGAAAGAACCAGTTTTATCAGTTGCCAAATTATTGATTATGGAATTTCGACGTGAAAAAGAATTGTTACTTAATCAAAATGGACAATTACGACGTGAAAATGCACTTTTACGTAGCGCACTTGCCAGCAGTACTGTTTTAGTTGGCTTAAAAGGATTAACCACAACAAATGTTCCTATTTCATAAAAGAGAGAAAAGTTCATTCATTCATTCATTCATTCAAAGGATCATTTTTACTACATGATTGATTAATTGATTGATTGGTTGATTGATTGATTTATTCGATTTTCTTTTTTTTTTTTTACTTCGTTTTTCCCTTTTTTTTAAAAAAAAAACCTCAATATCTAAACCGGTGAATTATTATAATGTAGTATGATTGGAGGAGAGGGGGGTAGGGAGGTAGGCGAAAAAAAAAAAAGAGAAATGTTAAATTCATTCTTAATTGTCCTTTGTTCAACTCATTCTTTGAAAAAAAAAAGGACATTGCTACAACTATTGAAAAGGAAAAGAGAGTTGATAAATTGAAAAAAAAAAAGAAGAAAGAGAAGAACAACAGTAAAGCTAATGTCATTTACTAAAAGAAAAAGGAATTAGTTTTTCTTTTCTTTTCTTTTTTCTTTCTTCAATGTAATCAATAATTCCTTTATAACATAAAAATAAAAGTTTGAATGAATGGAAGAAAAGAAAAAAAAGAAAAAAGAAGCATAAAAGCTTGAAATGCTTTAAGCAAAAAAATTTATTCCGAAATGATTGAAAATTTCAATAAATGTTCTTTTTTTTTTTCTATTATCTATACGATCTAGACATTCAATTCAATGATGATACGATTGCTTAATTAATATAATTTGTTTATTTGTTTATTAGTCAGTGTTACCGATCTCGTTTCTACTACGGGTTTGCAGCAAGCAGACCGAGGTCGGTGCTCAGACTATAAATTGTTTTGTTGTGACATTTTAGAAATTTATGATGCTATATTTGTCGTTTTAATTTTTGATTATCACAAAAAGGAGAAAAATGATAATGATGATAACGACAATAATAATAATAACAGTAAGAATATATAATAATAACAATGATAATAGCAGCAGTAATAGTAATGATAATGATAGTAATGTAATAAAAATAATATTAATAATGGTAATAATAAGTAAATAAATGAAGATGATGATAAATAACAATAATAATAATAAGTTGGCTTAAGGACCACGGTGGAAAAGTTTTGGCTAAGAAATTAGGTTGATTTCATGCTTTAACTTTTTTTCTTTCTTTTCTACAACTTACTGAAATGTTTATTGCTAAATTCAAATTTCATTTACTGTCTTACAAGTATTTCTGTTTATAAGTAAACAAAATTATTAATTGCTTTTTTTTTTTCAAATATTAATTTTAACATTAGGAATTGAAGATTTATGATGATACATCGATGTTTTATATAAGTAAAGAAAAAAGGAAAGGAAGGAAAGAACATGAAAAATGGAATGTGATAATGTTTTTTGATTTTAAATTTGATAATTTAAGTTGTATGTTTAAAAGATGGAATTATATTTGAGCATATATCATCAATTTTTTATTTAATTCTATTTAAAAAGAAAAAAAAAAGAATGAACTTATTTTTGAAAATATTTTGCTTGTTTAAATTGTTAGACAATTCTTTTTTTTTTTTTTTTTTCATTTCAAATTTCAATTATTCAAGCATTTGCTGTTAATTTCCGTCCTTTTTTACATCATTTACTAATGCTATACTTTTTTTCAATCTTTGTCCCCTCTCTCTCTCTCTCTCTCTCTGTTTTCAACTATTTATCTTTTCATTCATATATTTGAAAACGGAAAAGTGAACCGTAAAGCTCTTTGAAAAAAAAAAAAACTTTCGAGAACAAAAAATATGGCAGTAAATTGATATATGTATATATAATGTTCATCTTATTCTATTGATAAAGTAGTTTTCCAAAATAATTTTATATGTTTATTCAAGTGATTTTCAATTTGTTTACTTTTGCATGTTTAAATTCATCTCTCTCTCTCTCTCTCTCCCTCTCTTTCTCTCCATTTCATCCGGTTATTATTATTATGACAATAATAATTATTATCATTTGGTAGTAATAGTAGGTAGTAGTGGTAAGAGGTAAATAATAGAATGCTAAAATGAAAACTTGATTTACTGTTAATTTTTCTACCATTTTCCTTTTTCCTTCTTTCCTGTCCTTCTCCCTCTCCCTCTCCTCTCTCTCTCCCTCTCTCTCTCTCTCTATTTCTTCATGTTTCTTCCTTAAAAATTATTTTTATCCTATAAATTTTACAATCAGGTTATATAAAACTTTTTTTTTTTTGTTGTTGCTGCCAGAAAGTTTTAACTCAGGTTAGGGATAATTTTGTTAAATATGCATCAGATTAGATATATTCTTTCGTATAGTTGAAAAAAAAAAAAAAAAAAAAAAAAAGAAAAAGAAAGAAAGACGAAGAAAAAGATGAAAGAATTAATTACCGGAAATAGTAAATACCACCGTAAACAAGGTTAAATAATAAACTGATTAAAATCAGGAAATAATTATACCTAATATACATCTGCTATTTTTTTTTTTTTTTTTTTAATACCTGGTATATTTTAATTCATTTTTCATTCATCATTTACTTTTGTGAATTATTTGTTTGTTTGTTTGTTTGTTTTGTATCTTCATATGTTTTTTTTTTTTTGATCTTAAAAGTTTATATAAACCTATATCTTTTGACATTTTTTTTATTCATTCATTCATTTTGTTTGTAAAAAAAAAGGGAAAAAAAAATTATTGTATTATTTGTTATCATCAAATTGAATTTATGATAAATTAATAATTAATATTAGTTATATTAAATATAAAAATGATTGAAATGAAAATTGTATGAGATATTTGTTAATGATCAATAATTAGTCAATTAATTAATATTCTAATAGCATGAATAATTCTCGTATAAATTCATTCATAGCAATTATGTATATATAATTAAATGCAAAAAAAAAAAAATTTAGATTTTTTTTTTTTCGTTTTAAATTGTTTCATAATTTGTCATTTCCATTTTCTCTTCATTATATATTTACAATTATTATCATTGATATCTTTTAATAGCTTAAAAAGTTATACTTTTTTTTTTTTTTTTAACCAAATTGTTTTTCATTTATTACTAAAATTGTTCGCCTTCCAATATGTTTTAATATGTTAATTTTTCTGTGATTAAAGTAAATATTATGTGGTGGTATTACCTTCTTTCTTTTTTTTCTTCACAATTTTTTTTTTTTTACAAATTTAAAATTAAAAAAAAAAAAAAAGAAAGAAAGAGGGGAAAGAGAAAAATGTAATCAGCACTTATTAATAATAGTCGTTAATTTTTACTCGTCAATATTTTTGAATCATTGATTTGCTGTTGTGAAATGTTTAGTTATAAAATTTATACCTATTGTTTATTGCTAACATTTTTAATCAATTAAAAAGAAATAAGACAAATACATAGAGCATTTTGTATGATTGCAAAATTTCATTAATATGTTAAAAATAATTGAAAAAATTTTTATAACTATAAAAAGAATGATTCTACCATTAATAATAATAATAATAATAATTATTATTATTGAAATGTAAACGATTCATTCCATTGAAGAGAAATTAAATCAAATCTAATCACTTTATTGATTCAATGAAAAGGATAACAACGTGATATCATTTTTAAAAAAGAAAAAGAAAAAAAGTAGAGCTCGATTAAATTTGAAAAAATGCAACATAAATTTGCTAATTTGTTTAGGTAGGATAAAATATACTTTCATAATGCTGCATAAAAATGAAAAATAGTAATTAATAATTATACAGTGAATTTACAATAATAAAAATAGTAATTAATAATCTTAAAATGAATTTACAATGATAAAAATAGTAATTAATAATCATACAATGAATTTATAATAACAATAATAGTTTTTTGCTTTTTTTGCTTTTTTTTTTGTTTTTATTTTTATTTATTTTTTTTGTTTGCTTTATCATATGTATATGAACAAAATAATATAAAATCAATAGAATACTATCAAAATCACTAGAAAAAACAAAACATTTATGCACGCATACATCTCTTCATCATTCTTTATGATAATCAAAACTGTGAATAAAACAATTATCCTACTTATACAACATATAAAAATAAAACTATAATAATAATTCATCAATAAACAATTTCTTTTCTATCATATTTAAAAATCATTTTTCTTTTATTGATAACAAATAAAAAAAAAAAAAAAAAAAAAAAAGAAAGCACTTCTAAATCGATTACTTTTATAAAAATTTACATGTAAAACTTCAATCACTTTTCTTTTTCTTTTTTTTTTGCCCTCTTTTCCTTCTTCATTTTTTATTCTTGTCAAGTGCAAATTAATAAGCATTATTGATTGCTTTCTTTTTTTCTTCCTATCTTCTTCCTTCATATTTAAAATTTGAATTCAATCAATAAAAGATTATTTATTCTTCATCGTATGTTTATTTGTTTACTTACTATTTATTATTATTATAACCCAAATTTGCAACAACACGTGACTTTCGACACTTTCTTCTATTTGCTTTTCCTACACAAATATCTGAAGATGAAGAAGTAGTAGTGGGTGCATTTATAGTAGAATAATTACTATCATTTAAATTCATTTCATGTTTATTTGTTTCCACTGTAGCATCAATTGCAGCTGATTTTATAGTAGTCGTTTGCGCATCATTCATTTGATCAGATTTTTGTAATAAAATTTCTCCCTTTGAAGTCTGCAAAGTATTTTAAATTGAATTTAATGCAATAAAAATTATATTGAGGAAGACAAAAAAAAAAAGCTTTTCTTTTCTCTTTTTGAATTTTACACATTTATGTAACTTAAAATTAATCTTTTTTTTTTTTTTTTTGCTATTTAACTGTACAAATATAGAGAAAGATACATCTTATTTAATAACTCTAACATCATTAACATAAAAGTGTAATTAATATTAACTACCGATTTAGATGACTCAGTCAATCCATCCAAATTACTTGATTCACCCAAAGTATGCAAATGTTGTTTGTTGAGTTGTTCAGTTAGTTGCTCAATAGGACTATTTCCGCCGCCAGAAGCTATCATTTCTTGTTTTTCATTTCCGGATTTCACATTTTTTTCAAATTCTTCTGCTTGTTTCGTATCAGTTGCCGATACTACACCTGGCATATCTTGAGGTTTATTTCTTTTAAGTAAAGTAATTTGTGGAGATGCAGTCTTGTTGTTCTTTTTCTCCAAAGGCATTCGTTTCTGAATTCGAGTAGTAGATTTACAATTTGATTGCTCCTTATAGACTTTTTCATGAGAACATCGAAGATAATCTTTCGATCTCGTAGAACTGCATCCAAACCATGTTCGTGGATATCCATGATAATTTTTCATTCCTTTATCGTCACCATAGGAAGTGGTAGTACCAACAACAGTAGTTGTTCCACCAAAATTGCATGAAGAAATTCCTACAGTACCATTATTTTTTATTATTTTACTATTAGCTTCCATTTTTCCAAAATTTACATCATCTCTTATTTTTCCTGAGCGTCGAGCTACAGATTTATTACTCGATTTCTTTTCAAATATTTTTCCTTCTTTCTCTTCTGAACTCTAAAAATATTTCAAAATTTAAATCTCACAATCTTGTTATTCTTGAAATGCTCATTAAGTTATCTGTAGCTTTTATCAAATCATTTTATATTCTGATTCAGTTTCATTAACAAAATTTTTCACCTCAAACAAGTAAGCATTAAAGGAATCATTCGTTGAGATAAAAAAGTGAAATCATAGTAGCATCTTGTATTAATTGTTGTAAATAAATGAATATATAGATAATAATAGATCAAAAAAAGTTAGGAAATTACCTGAGGTTTAGAGCCCGAAGGATGACTGTCTATAAATCCACTTGTAGACCTAACTTGTAGTTTTCGATTTCCTACTAGCACTACTGTCGTACGACAATCTTTTGCTGCTAGCTCAGCATCATGTGTAACAGCAGCTGAAGATTCTTTCTCAGTCTTTGATCTTTCTCCATAGCATAAATCATTCGAGCATGATGCTTGAGAATTCTTTGATTTACATTTATTTCTTGAACTAGATGCATTCTATAAAAATTATCATAACATTTGGTTTCAATACAGTGAGAAAACAATGCTTATAGCTACTGATTAAAAACCGGCTTAAAAAAAAAAAGAAAGGATAGACTTTTTGAGAATTAACAATATTTTTTCATGAACAAAAGAACATTTCATAATTCTGTTTATAAAGGGAAAAAAATGATTAATTAAATTTTGCTGATAAAAGAAAAATGAGAAAACAAACAAAAAATCTGTCCAATCATATTTGAATTTATCCATTTTTAACTTTGTATATTTAAAATTTAAATTACTGGGTTAAAAGAAGCAAAATCAAAATATCATCATATTTGTACTCAAAAAATACTACATTAATATTGTTTATCAAATGAATCAAATTAACATGTATTTGTTTATGATTTACAAAAAAAACAAAACTTACATCTCCTGGCATCGATATTTTATTTCTGTAAATACATCCAGAACTTCCAGATGGACTTTGCTGATCATCTTTATTGATTTGCAAATTTTTTGGAAAATCCATTGGTTTATAATTAGTTTTAGCCGAGTTTACAATATGCTCAATTGATGGAATTTCATTTCGCATTCGTTTTCCATATGTTATGTTAATCAATGAAGATATCGGTAATCGAGCTGCACTTGCTTTACTACTTCTAAAAAAATAATATTATTTAGATTTATTTTAAAAATCTAAATGTAACGCATGTATATATTACAACTTTATTTAATATATCAAAATGCTCTGTTGAACGTACACTGTTTATTTTAACAATGATCAATTAATACAATATATTTAATCTTTACTAAACATTAAATAGAATTATCAATGCTAATTAGCTCAAATCATAGGAATATTCTACTCTCTTCTTACTTACAATTAGGATGCAATATTATTAAAAAGTAGATCGAATATTTTTTCAAATAAAAAGTTGATAAAAAAAAAAACACACCGCATAATTCGGCCTCCAAAATATGGTTTATCAAATAATACATCGATTTTTTTTCCTGAATTTGTATTAAGTAATCCAATAACAGTACCAAATTCACCAAATGGTGCTCCGCGACGTTTTTTAACACAAATAACTCGATCCAGTAAGCAAAATTCAGCTGTTTCATCTGGCATGCTATCACCTTTGCATAGTTCCGCCTAAATTAGATTTATTTTTTTCAATCCTATTGAAAAATAATTGTTATTTTGATAATACACATTTTTTTTATCTTATATCGCTAATAATAATTTGTGAAATACTTTTGTTTTTCATAAAGCTTAGTAATTCTATTTAAAATAATGTACCATAAAAATAGCACGCGGTTTTACTGCAAGTCGTTTACAAGTTTGATCTGGTGTATTTTTTGAAATGACAACTTGTATACGTTTTTCAATTTCCTTCAAAACTCCAGAATCCACAAAAACATCATCAGCTGATTCCAAAGCATTCTTTGGCGTAATAGTGTTTAAAAATGTTTTTAACTCTGAAAATTGTCACACTAGTTATTTCTTAGATTTTCGTCTTGTTTAAAAAAAAAAAAATAAAATAAAAACTATACCAAACATTAAAATGGCTTATGAATATTATATTGTGGAACAAATTAATGACATTTTTGTAATGTGATGCAATTTTGTGATCAATTAAGAAAAGCGAAAGAACAGAACTACACTGAAATCTTCACATGATAACAAATTTGTGAGTAACAAATTATGAAGAAAAAAAATTATATGAAACACGATAAATAACTTCAGTACAGGAAGCAGAGCTAACTTATCATAAATTTACCTTCAATTTTTTTATTTAATTCTTCTCGTTCAAATTCTGGAAATATTTGCTTGATATGAATATATGGTTGAAAGTTATCCAGTTTTTCAAGATATTTGAATACACTGGGATACCTATAAATACTCATTATGAAAACAAAAATAAGACAGTATATGAAAATAAAACATATTCATATTCAACTACAATTTAAACTATATATATATATTTTTTCTAATGTTTTCCATACTTCATTTTGTAATTCCTAATTATATCGAATGTTTTTGACGAATATAATAAATGACCCTCTGACGAACGACATGTGAAATCTGGTACCTGAAAATGATTTTATTTATTTCATTTCTTCCTAAAATTATCACACATATATCCTCGAATTATTTCAATAAAGAATTCCTATCAAATAGCAAATAAATCTAATATGAAAATTTAAAACATGAAGGAAAGAAACAAACGATTTGGTTCCTTTTTGTAAATTTCAATTCAAGTCCAATATTGGCTTTCAGTGGAGTATTTTTTGATGGTACCACGTTTGATTCATCCAGTAAAACGTAAACACAACCAGTGATACGATTAATAACATCAACACTAGCTATAATTTTTTCTTTAAAAAAAAAAACTAAAACTAAATATGATGTTAGAAAGATGAATCGAACAAACATTAAATATTAGCAGAAGAAAACAATTTCAAACAAATTCATTATTTCAAAAACAAAGAAAAAAAAATTTAACTTACTATGCAAAAACTTAGCTAATTCATATGCAGTATACCATTTAAGAGCATAATTATCATAATCTGCTACAATATCGCAAAAGTTCAAATCTGCCCCTGTTGAAATTTTACACGAAACAGTAAGTGTTCCTATAAAAAAAAAAAGAATTCATCAATGATTCATAAATTAGCTTAACAATGACTATTAAATTAGTGAAAAGTAAAAGTAGTCTACCTTTTGTCATTAGATGATTTTCTTTGATAAATCCAGAAAAACCATAATATTTACTTTCAACCGATGAAATGAAAACTTTAGCATTAATTGGATACAAATCCTCCAATGCACATTTAGAATCCCAATCCTCTAGTGCATTCTGAAGAAATGAGAAGTTAAAAGATCAACTATTGCAATATTTACATAAATTTAATAATTTATCTCAATTTTGATGCTATTCAGAAATTTCTCAATCTTTCTTACAGTCATAGTTCATGTCGTATTATTCATTATTATTATAGTATAAAAAAATAAACTGAAAATAATATTAACAAAATGAACTAACTTGTACTAAAAGAGAAAGCGATACGGGAATTGTATTATTGATATCAGCATAAAATCGTTTAATTAATACTTTTTGCTCTTCAAAATATTTTCGCAATCCATGTGCTATTCGAACTAATGCTAACCCTTTTTGTTGACCAGCATCAATACCTCTCCTTTCAAATTCACTATAAAAATGAATATGAAAATTAATTATATATAAAGTGAATTTTACAAAATCAAATTTGAAAATTTCATGTTTTTTTATGCCTAAAAGCTTGAAAAGTTATAAAAATAATTATAAAAAAAAGAAAAATTGCATAGATTTTAAAGCTAACTTTCGTCGAGTTATATTGACATAAGTTTTGTACATACTTTGCTCTTCTTCCGAAAGAGCATTACAAATAATTTTTTTATCAGCAGCTTTGCTATATCTGGAAAAAAAAAACAAAAATTGTATTTATCATTCACGTTATTTAAAGCTCATTTTCAAATATTGCATTATAACAAAGAGAATTATCAATTCATGCATCAAATTATTTTTTGTTTAATTTTCATTTTAAAAAAATGAAATGAATTTAAAAAAAAGCAAACTTTTCATGAGCAGTCCATAGTTCCTGGACCAAAGCTCCCTGTAGTATAGGCCAATTTACATGTACCTCTTTTCCAACTAAATCAGATGCTATTTCCATTATATCCTGTGAAACAGAATGCAATATTTAGTGCTTTACAATTTTCACTTATATCTTAATATTAATATAAATATTTACTAAGTATTAAACATCAAAAACATTCGTTCAAGAATTAACAGAAAGTTTTAAAATGATAACAACTACCAAATTATACCCATTCCGAATTATCTTTTTCATATGTTTTCTTTCTGCGATCATTTTTGAATTCCCGTGGTTAGCCCAATTTATTTTCAGCCACAATTAAACTATTCGACAAAGAGTGGAAATTTTGTTCAATTTATTTAATACTTTTAAAATATATATATATATATATATATTTGAGAACGTATTTTACAAGAAACAAAGTGAACAGGCATTTCACTTTTTGCTGGATAGTTTTCTATTTTTTTTTTACCATACAGTTTAAGCATATTATTTTCAAATTAAATCCGGTTAATAAAGCGTACCTTTTCCAGTTCTGGTCTGTTTCCAATTTTTAGAATCATCGATTGATTTTTGGATGGCTGTTGAAACAATTTAATATCCGCAAAAAGAAGCTCAGCAATATGAGGTATATGTTTCAACGTAGGAAAGCCAGGAAATACAACATCTAACTTAACTCCAGGTAACAAACCGTGTACTATTCGATTACGTGGTATGCGAAATTGATTCATTTCTATTTTTTCTATTCTAAAATAAAATCTATTTTATTCATTTATTTTTTTTAAAAAGAAAGTGCCCAAAAATTCTGAAAAAGTTACATTCAATATTAACCAAATTATCATACAATACTTACTTCACAGCGCAATCCTGAATATCAGGGAAGATATCAGGAAATGTAGATTTCAGAATATGTGATGAAGAGGGATCATAACTAAACAACAGATGTGGTCCATGCATATTTCTTTGTCGTTCCTTTAAATATTTAATTTAATATTATTACTATTACTATTATTGTTATACAGATTCAAAGTAATCAAATGTTAAACTGTAAAGTATTTTTGTTAAATGGAAAATTACCTCATCAGTTAATAAAGAATCTTTAACAGCTACAGCTTGTAGAAGACGATCTTCATTAATGAATGGTATCAGAATAACCGCTTCCCAATCATTCTTCTTACCATTTAAATCAGTGTCAAATTGTTCCGGATAGAAATCAATAATTGGACTTTTTGGATCATTCATAAGCTCCTGAATTATAAATTTATGAACATACAACTAAAAATTTGAATTACTTACTATCATTATGACGAAAGAGCAACAGCATTTTTTGACATGCATGAGTCAGATATCAGATAAATAATACCTGATAATATCAATTCAACTATGATAGATACTATTCTGATCGGTTAGAAATAAAATTACTCATAAAAAAAAAGTACTGCTGAAATAATGCTGAAAAAAAATTTGAAATTTATTACTCTATAAGGAGGTGGTAAACAATCGGCACTAGCTGCTGGTAATACAGCCAATAATTGCTCAAATGGTTTAAATGGTTCACTCAAATCAAAATTCATTTCCATTTCAGCAAAATCAGAAACATCTGATATGTAGGGAGCATAATGATGTGGATAAAACCTAAAAAATAAAATAAAATAAAAGTGAACTAGTACAGAATTAAATATTTGAGTTTATCTACAAAATGTAATATTTCTAATAAAAAAAAAAAAAAATGTACCAGCTCCAACTACAACATCCATGATAGTAGTAATGTAAATTCCACTGAATTGCACGAATGTATCCTTCTGCTTGTTCACGTAACTCTTCCTTACTTATATTGTTATACTTCATCTTATCATTATAATAGTCACGTTTGTGATTCTTGAATGCCTTATTAACTACTGGAGTCCAAGATAACTGAAATAAAAAATAATCGAGATGAAATCGGATATTCTATAAAAATACTGTAAAATAGCATGCATGCATATATATATATAGGTTTGTTCGCAAATTTAAACTTACATCACAATCATTTTCATAACTTTCATCATCTAAAGATGCAACTGGCAGATCATCATCTGAATCTTTGTCCAAACCAAAATATCCATCTAAACAAAAATATTATCAAATTTAACAGCAAAATTTAATTAAATAATATGGAGATACTTTTTTTTTTTGCTCTTACGTATTCATACATGTTCGAGAACTTACGAGACACTGCTTTAGTAGATGTTAAAGCCCTTTGATCAGTAATTTCTTCACATTCGTCAGAAGCATTACTGTCAGAATCAAATGCTCCTTTAGAGATCCCAATGTCAGTAACTTTATTCGTTTCATCATTAGAAAGATCGAACACCTCTAAATCTTCATTCTGAAATATTTACATGTTGGATGAGCTACTATTAAATATGGAAAATTTAAATAGATAATTTATTAAGCTCTATGCTTCAGCTCCATTATAAAAATATCAAATAAACGAAATAAGAAAATCCCAATGCCAAATTTAATTAAAATAATCATATTTTATAAAAAGTAGCATAAAACTAACAAAACTTTGCTCATCGTTATTAGAATTCTTTTTCCAAGCATCTGATGTTCTTTTTGAACTAAGATATGCTTCATCATCCATTTGTTCAAGAAAATTCTTCCTGTCATTTTTTGCAAAATTTTTCAAGAAAATTTCAAAACGCTTCAAATTTAAAACACCCGCTTCGTTAATATAACCTGTAAGAAAAAAAAAAAGTATTAATATATCAAAACTGTTCTAATACATTCAATGTAATATGTTACTTGATCGATCTTCTTCTAATTATTATCTGTTAATAAATAGATAAATTTTCCTTAAAATTATCAAAGTGCCATTATAAGATTTACCATCTAGTTGAGGCAATACTTCATTATAAGTAGCGTAAAGTAGAGGTAAAGCATCTTCATGTATATGAACATGAGGTAGGTGAGGTATAAAATCGTTACCAATAAGAAAACCCATTAGTATCCAGTCATCAATCACTGACTCCAAATTATAATCAAATGGCAATTTTTCCTGAAAATTGAAATCAAATTTTATCAAATGCATAAAATTTTTTAAAAATCCCTGCAGAGAGAAAAAGGAAAAAAAAAAGGAAAGAATTACCTTTAGTGAGTGGAATTCCAATGAAAGGTATTCTCGAAGCAGAGAAAGATGCAATAAATGAAATGTTATTTCATCCACTTTTGCTCTAAATTTCAATTAAAATTTTGTAGAATTTTGTTAAACTTTTTTTTTGCAGAATTTTGTTAAACATACGATCTTATTTTAAAATTTCCAGCTATTACAGTTTCAAAATCTAATAAATAATACCACAGGAAAATAATTTTCATGCAATTTAAACATTCATTCAAAAAATATAAAAAATAAAAGTAACACAAAATTGTCATGAAAAATATCATGTTAGAAAAATTTTTGCACAGATACATCAGATAAGTATGATTCCTTTTAAACCAAAATTAATTATTATCTGATAGTTACACATTAATTACAATTTTTTATATTCATTTATGAAGCTAAAAATATCAACCTATGTTTTCTGATACGAAATTTTTGCCTTCCAAATTTCACTTCTTCTCGTAGCAAAGCAAAATGAGGCTCATGTGAACATATTCCCAACATTATCTAAATATATCAAACTATTATAACTAATTTTAACAATTCTTTGATATACTATTATAAATATGAAATAAACTTGCCAAATCTGCATCAAGACCATAAAGACAATGTCTTGTATTAGCGTCGTAATCTGGACGACTTCGTTCGCTACGTATAAAATCCATTATTTTATGCTCACCTTCTCCAGGACACTGCAAACTATCAGTTACATAAACGATTATATAAAATATACTAATTTAATGAACATAAATTGTCAGTATTTAAAGGAGAATTAATTAATTTATCAATATTCAAAAGATAGCAACAGCAATCAACAGAAATTAGATTAACCTAATAATTAAAACACTTTTTTTTTAACAGTAAAATAAGATTAGGCTTGTGTAAATATGTAAAATTCATGAAAAAAGAAGTGTGTATTAAGTACAACTAACATTATGGCCAGAAAGATATATTCGTAAACCTTGCCAACAACTATCCGTAGCAATTTTCATTTGTACAAAACACTGTAAATTCTCATGTAGATAAGCCATAAACTCCGTACCTTAATTGATCCATTTTTATGAATTAAACAAAAAAACAATGACAATACGTGAATTCTTGAATGTTATTCTAATAATATTTGTATAAATAAGCAGCTAATCTCTATTTTATTTCAAAATTTATAAGCAGCTAACTATTCATATATTTAAAATATCATAAAAATTTCAGTTTTTCTTTTTAGAAAACTAGTGTATAATGACCAGTAAAACTGATATTTAACTGTAAAATATTTTAGAAAACAAAACCAAAGCAAAAAATAATTCTTTTCATTGAGTAGCTCATGTTAATGAATTAAAACGTATCAAAAACTTGACCATCTTCAATAATATTACAATATCAAATGATATGCAAACCTGGAGTGATGCAATTTGAATCAAATGGTTTTTCATCTGGGATTTTTATTCCTTTTTTTCTCGCCTTACTTAGAGCTTCTTGTGCATTTTTTGCAGACCTTCAAAGATGAAATAAAAACAGTTGCATATATCATTAGTGCTATAAAATAATTGCTATAATTTCTCTTCTCTCAATATAATACTACAAATTCTTCAAGTTCTGAAATAATGCAATCTTATGATGGCGATTCAAAATAAAACAATAATGTGAAAATAATAAATTAATAAAAGATATAATAATATAATCATAAATATCGTAGCAAACTTTACATTAAAAAAAGAAAAAGAAAAAAAATAAAATAAAATAATAAAAGAAAGACAAACATAAAACGTCGCGCTCTTTGTTGATTCATCTTAGCACGCGGTGCAACACCATCAATAGCCATGAAAAAAACTTTTTTCGGCTTAATTATGCCAAAAAGAAACTGAAAAAAATTTTGTAAACAACAATCATGTAATAACAATAATTATTAAAAAATCAATGAATTGTGATAATTTCACCTACATCAATGTAATTAAAAATATCATGAAATATTTGCTCTTCTGAAATTCGAAATGAAACATCTTCATCATCTGGATGCGAACAGCCATGTATTATACCATTCATATCCAAATATAAATTATCAAATTCTGGAATCTGAAATTATCAAAGTATTCATTCATTTTATAATTTGTAATCTAACTATTAAAACTTGTTCTCTATTATATGCTGTTTTAATTCACTAAACTAATTAGTGAATTAAAACAGCATATACTAACCTCATTAGTAAGTTTTCAAAGTTTGCAAAACATTTAAAAATTGATATTTTCGTATATTATAAAGAAAAAAAACATGCAGCATAATAAATTCAGAAAAAAAAGAGAAAAAAAAAAACGAAAAGATGAATAAGTTGAAAAAAAAAAGTTCATTAACGTCAGATGATTTAACCATATAACATGACAAACTAACCTGTTCATCCCGAACAACTTCACTTAAACATGGATAACGTTCGCTAATCCATCGATAAAACTTTGGAACACCCATTTTTAACTATTAAATTTGAATAATATGGTTAGTATTTTGTTATTATTACTATAAAACAACCATTCATTTTTAAATTAACATTACAAATGATTAAATAGTTGCAAAAAAAAAAAAAAACCATGCATATTTTACGTACCAATCATAAATATTGTCAATACGATAGCAATATTAACTTATACATCAATCAACTTAACTGAAGTATATTTCAACGGTAAAACTAATTTCCACGTGTAAAAATAATTTCCACGAGTAAAACTAATTTCCACGATTAAAACTAATTTCCACGTGTAAAAATAATTTCCACGGGTAAAACTAATTTCCACGATTAAAACTAATTTCCACGATTAAAACTAATTTCCACAGGTAAAATTAATTTCCACGGGTAAAATTAATTTTCAAGGGTAAAACTGATTTGCAAAGATAAAATTAACCTCATACTCCGTTCCCTTTACTCTAAACTCCAACTCCAATTCTCTAAGTTAATGTTTTCACTAACATTTCTGGTTTACTTCAAGCGTCATCGCGTTATGTCACATGGAGACTGTTGTGAAAAAAGTCGATTTCAATGTTAAATATCACGTACGTATCAATAATGTACGCGTATATATAAATGCGCGTGTACGTATGTAACCTCTTACTTATACGTCTGTACGTATGGAACACGTATGTTTGATGTAAAAGAGTTTCGGAACAACTAAAATTTTAAAGAAATAAAATAATTTGGCGTTAAAAAGCAAACAGACATAAATAATGAGTGAAAATAAATTCGATCGATAAAACATATATTCATATCTAGGTGTATCGAATAAATAAAGGGAATGAAATTTCAAAACACGTTTATTCAAAACACGTACGTGTTGTAGGTTTATACACTTATATAATTCATAGTTTAGTATCAAACAATCGCTTATAATTTGTAATTTGAAAGATTTGTGGAAAATTAAGTAAAGTTTATGATAAAAAAATTGAATTTAATTGAGTATTTTTTTTGACACGTCAATCCCTTATCTGTACCGTCACTTACGTGATCTTGTCTGATCATAAGTGTTCTGAAGAAACTCTGTTATCCTTTTAACGCGTCAATCCTTTATCTGTACCGTCATTTACGTGATCTTGTCTGATTATAAGTGTTCTGAAGAAACTCTGTTATCCTTTTAACGCGTCAATCCTTTATCTGTACCGTCACTTACGTGATCTTGTCTGATCATAAGTGTTCTGAAGAAACTCTGTTATCCTTTTAACGCGTCAATCCTTTATCTGTACCGTCATTTACGTGATCTTGTCTGATTATAAGTGTTCTGAAGAAACTCTGTTATCCTTTTAACGCGTCAATCCTTTATCTGTACCGTCACTTACGTGATCTTGTCTGATCATAAGTGTTCTGAAGAAACTCTGTTATCCTTTTGACACGTCAATCCTTTATCTGTACCATCATTTACGTGATCTTGTCTGATCATAAGTGTTCTGAAGAAACTCTGTTATCCTTTTGACACGTCAATCCTTTATCTGTACCCTCATTTACGTGATCTTGTCTGATCATAAGTGTTCTGAAGAAACTCTGTTATCCTTTTGACACGTCAATCCTTTATCTGTACCGTCATTTACGTGATCTTGTCTGATTATAAGTGTTCGGGAACAAGAAGAATTGATTATATTGCATTATTACTGCTAAAGTATTATCATTATCAGTTAACTATCGTATAATTATTATCAATAGTGTATATTATTCAAATATTTCAATAATATGTTGATAAGTTGTATTGAGCAGCTATCAATATTGTTAAAAAAAATATTATCAAATGATTGTTGGAAGAGTTGAATTGTTATCAGTTGCTATAACGAATATCTTTTTTTTTTTTTTTTTTGTTTTTTTTTTTTTGAAGTAGTTATCAAGCAGTAATGCACCTCGAATGGTTGCTTCTTCTTCATGCTATTATCACTTTTACAGGTAACTTTCTTTCATATAAATAATTTTTCATGTTAAAACGAAAAAAAAAAATAAAATGAAATAATTTTGTAATCAATTTTAAAATTACAATTTTTTATAGTAATAATAATAACTAATTATTGCTTTTGTTGAAATTCTTGCCGGAGAATATTTGTTAATTATTTTTATTAATTAAAATTGTTATTTCTTTCATTTTTTTCTCTAAAAAAAAAAGTTGGAAAAAATAAATAAAAGATTTTATTTGATACATTTATTAATTATTGTATAATTTAATGTTTGCAATAATTACAATCAAATTATCTTATCATTTTAGTCGCATATGATGGTGATAATAACAAGCATTATTCTGCTTTAAATGATGCTTGCGCTATAACATGCACAGGTATGAAATTTCTTTTAAAATTTCTTCAAAAAAAAAAAAAAAAAAAAAAGGTAATAACGATGCAATATTTAAAATTTTATTGTTAAAAATTTTTGAAATTATTAAAAATATTAAAAAAATATTAAAAAAATATAAAAAAAAAATATAAAAAAAAATTAAAAATATTAAAAAAAAAATTAAAAAATATTAAAAATTTTTTGAAATTATTAAAAATTTATTTTCAATTATGATTTACTATTTGAATAGTTGAAATTAAATGTAATTTACAGTTAATTGCTATTTGATCATAAAAATTTCGAATGTAATTGTAACGATTTGAGAATGATTGAAAAAAAAAAATAATTTTAAATTGAAAATATGAATACTTATTACTTTTCTTTGTTAATTCTTTTTCCCCTTTTTTTTGTTAATATTGTTACAGCTATAAATTTCAATTTCAATTATGAAAAAGAAATAAAATTTGAAATAAACTTCAATGGAATGAAAAAAAAAATGAGAAAACAAAAAAAAGAAAATTTAAATTTGAAATGGAATTGAAGTAATGAAAAAAGGAAAAAGGAAGAAATGAAGACAAAATCAACTTTGCAAAGATAAAAAATTTTTAATTCATAATTATTATTATTATTTTTTTTTTTAAACGACTTTTATGCTTTGAATAAACTGTAATCAAAATAATCACAAATGATAAGAGAGAAATATTTTATCATACCATCATTTCTTCTTCCCATTTATTCATCGATGCATTTAAAAATTGATAAAATAAAAGTATTTACTTTTGCATGCAAATTTAAAGTAATAACAATAATAATAAATAAAATTTGAATTATGTACAAATTAATGCATAACAAAAAAAGAAAAGTAATAATGAGAAATTTTAAAGAATTTAAATAATCAGAAATAAAAATTTAACAAAAAAATGTTAATTTATCTAGCAACATTGGAATAATTAAATAACATAAAAAGAAGCTAAGAATATATTTTTTTTTGTAATTTAATTATTTTTAATTAATTTTAATTTTCTAATATTGTTGTAGTTGTAAGAAGTTTAAACATTCAAATTTACTCAAAAAAGTACCGAAAGTAAAGTAACAATTAAATTTCAATAAATTATTAGCAATTTTGACGACAATTTAATTTGATTAAAATATTTACAATTACTTAAAATTTTGTTTTATTAATTACTCATCCTTCTTATTCTTCAATTATATAATTATCTGAAAAAATAGATTACATTTACTATTGTTTGTCTTAATTTTTGTTATAAATTTTAATTATATTAATTTCTGATATTGTATGTTTAATTTCTTTTTCATTCAAACAATTTAGTTACACACGAAAATAATATTGAAAATAAAAAAAATTTGAAAAAAGAAAGGAAAAAAAAAATTTTGAAATTACTTTTTTTTTCTTTTTATATTACAAAACGCCATTTTTCTCATTAAAAAAAATGGTAATAAATAAAACAAAATAATAAATCGAATAGTAAATTTGATGATTTCGTTTAAATTTTAAAAAATAAAATACATTTTTAATATATAAGTAAATTTTGATATTATTTGAAGATATGAAAACTTTTTATTTCTTTTAAAATCTAACATTTTAAAATTATTTTCAAATTAACATTTTTCTCACTCTTAAAGTAATTAGTTAATTAATAATTGTTTTAATTAATTAATCAATAATTAATATTAAATATTTTAATAGTTTTAGGTGTGTCAACAGAAGTGAAATATGAGATAGGTCGTAGTTATGTATTTGATGTAACATCTCGAACAATTTTAAAAATTGGTGACGAACGTGACACAGATGTGACACAAAATGCGCAAGCGCATATATCAGTTCATTCACCGTGCGAATTTTCACTCAAAGTAATTTATTAATTTGTATATATATATATTTTAATTTTTAATTTTTAAATATACTTAGAAGATAATTTTAAATTTTACATCAAAGAAAAGAAACAAACAAAAAATTAACAAAATAATGCTAAATCTTCTTATATTTAAACATTATTTATAATTTATTTGTTTTAAATTACCTTTCACAGTTAGTTTAAAAAAAAAAAAAATTGCACTTTTTTTTTTGATTAGTAAAAAATTTAACTTATACTTTTCTAACTTATAATTAAACTTATAATTTAACTTGTAATTAAGCCTAGAATTTAACTTATAATTAAATTTATAATTTTAAGCATAGAAAAAATTTATTATTATATTGATTTAAAACTTGTAATTTGTTTACAAATTTATTGAATTTTTTTTTAAATTTATTTATTAAAATATGCAAATTGAAGAAGAAAAAAAAAAGAGCTTATTTCAAATATTTTGGTCGGTTTTTTTTTGAATAATTAATAGAAAAGTGTTAGGTATAATATGTAAATATGATTAATGCAATTTAATTGAGTAAAATAATTTCAATTATTTTTATTACTCTTTTTTTTAAAAAAAAAAATAAATATATTTAATTAAATATAGTATATAGCAGAATTAATGCAAATAATACTTAACGGAGTAAAATGATTTCAAAATTTTGTTGTTACTTTTTTTTTAAAAAAATATTTAATTAAAAATAGGTACTTAATATAATTAATACGAAATCATTTAATTCAATAAAATAATTTCAAATATTTTTATTACTTTCTTTTTAAAAATAATTTAATAAAATATAATATGTAATAAAATTAATCCAAATAACACTTAAATTTCAAATATTTCACTGTTACCTTTTAAAAAAAAAATTAATTAAATATAGTAAAACGTAAATCTAGTTGACACGTACGTCACTACGAGGAATGCAAGTTGAAAATGATAATTTAATACAATATGTAACATAATTGATTCAAAAATCACTTAATGGAATAAAATAATTTCAAATATTTCACTATTACGCTTTTTTTTAAAAAAAAAAAAAGTTTAATTAAATATGTTGAAACGTAAGTCTAGTTGACACGTACGTCACTACGAGGAATGCAAGTTGAAAGTGATTGGAGTGCTATCCTGGAACGTTCATCACTTCGATTTGCATTTGATGATGGGAAAGTGATTGCAATTTGCCCGAATAATACTGATCCAATATGGGCAATTAATATTAAACGTTCTATTTTATCAACTTTTCAAATTATACATGGTTTGGCTTTTTAATTTTAATTAATTTTAATTTTTTGTTTTTTTTTTTTTTTTAAATTTTTAATTTGCTTAATTTAATTCTATTCATTTTTGTAATTAAAAAAATTTTTTTTTCACTTTTTAATCATTACATTTTGTTTTTTATTATTTAATCTCTTTTCATTCTTTTTTTTTTTAGGTAAATATTTTTTTTTTCTGTTTTGTATTTCAATTTTATCAAAATTATATTTTGATATAATTTCAATTGAAAATTCTCTCTGAAGAAGAAAAGAACAATAAATAGCTTTAAAAAATTTTAATTAAATAATTTTTTAATTATTTAAATTTTTTTTACTAATAAATTTACTAGTTTACTATAAAATATTACTAAATTATATTAAGTAATTAATATTATGCTGAAAAATAATTAAAAGAATCTAATATATTTTACTTTAAAAAGGTTTACTTTAGATTAATCAATTCAAAGTATTTCCATTTTTAATCTTTTAATTTTAATTTAATTTTATTATTTTTAATTTTAAATTTAATTTTTGTGTTATGAATTTATTTAGAAGGAATAAGAGAAATTGATATTTCTGGTGATTGTCCGATAATTATTGAAAAGCAAAAAATCAATGAAATATTAAATTTGAAAACAACAAAACAATTAAATTCCTGCTATCGTAAGCATGATATTGCTGGCATTCGAGCTATACCATATCGATTAGAATCGGTTAGTTAATTATTAATCCGGAATTGTATTCCGGAAAATGAAGTTATTTGCATATTATTTAATTTGATTAAAACATTGTTATAAAGGGAAAAAAAAGTATGTAACTATCTATTTTAGCTAATATTTTAAATTGAATCACACTGATATTAATTAATTTGTGATTAGAATGTGATTTGTTTACTTGTTTACTTTTTTTTCATGACTATAATAATATTAATTATTGAAAAAAATAGCTAAAGTGAATAATTAAAAACTGAATAAATTAATAATTTAAGAGGAAAAAAAAATTGAAAAATATACATTTATAATAGTTTGGAAAAAAAATAAAATATAATAATAATAAAATATAATAAAAATATAATAATAAAATATAAAAATTTTAATTTTAAAAAGTGAAAATAAAAATAAATAATTTTAGAAAATACAAATGGCACCAATGATAGAAGCAAAACAAATATGTGAGCGTCAAATTGCTCATAATAATCTTCAACAGGTAAATCAATATTAGTGCAAATTAATTAATTCATTATTTAATTAATTAATAACAAATCATTTAATTAATTAATTTTATGAACTTATCATTTCTTCGATTACATTTTTTCTATTTGATAAATATTAATTATTATATAGCTTTAGAGAATATATATTATAGTGTTTATAGTGAGCAAATTAAAATTAAGAAAAAAAAAGTTGAAGAAAAAAAAAATTTTTTTCTCGCAAAATTTCTTTTTTAAATTCATTGTTCTTGAATTTATTTACTTATTAGTAATTTAATATTAAATTCGAGTTTATTTTTATTAATTTTTTGCTTCTTATTGTTTTTTAATTGGATAAAAAATTATTTTATATTTAAATTAATTTAAATTTCATACCTATTTTCTTCTACCACTTATCATTTATTTAATCATGAGTTGTTGAAATAATTTTATTAATTCATTTGTTTACAATGTAATCTAATAACAGATTTATCAGTATAATTGATTAACTCAAATTTAATTGTAGTAAATAAGTAATTTAATTAATATATGCATAGCAAATTAATTGTAGTCTAACTAATTTAAAATTTAATTATATGTATATAACAAATCAATTTGTAGTATAACTAATTTAAAATTAAAATATACGTATATAATAAATTGATTTTAGTGTAATTAATAATTCATAACTGTAATTGATAACTCATAATTAATAATTCAAAACAAATACTTTTATCAACATTACAGTTCTAATACAAAATAAAATTATAATTGTGATAATTAATTATTAAATTTTTCCAGGTAACAAATAAAACATAACATTAATTAATTGTGATATAATAATTCAAAATGACCACTTTTATCAACAATACTATTTTAATGTAAAATAAAATTATAATTATAATAAAAAAATATTAATTAATAAATTTTTCCAGGTAACAAATAAAACGTACCACTAATTAATTATAATTTTGCTAATAATTAAATTTTATCACTTTTATCAACAAAAAGTAAAATTTAATAATCAAACATAATTTCCAGGTGACATGCATGGAAAATTATCATATCATTTCACCTTACAGTAATGATAATATTGGAATGTTAAAAGTTGAACAAACACTACGAGCAATTGGTATTACAAATTCAGCACCACAAGAATCATTTAATAAACGCTTATCAATTACTTTTGATTATGGCAGTGATAATTTTAATCAGAAAAATTCATTACAATTTGTTAAAAAAATTATCGATGAATTATGTGAATCAAATGATCGCATTGATGCAAATGTAAGTGTAAAATATTTTATATAAATTATAGTTTTTCTATTTTTTTTTTCTAATTTGATAAAATATTTTTATTATTATTCTTAGTAATTATCATTTTATTTTATATTATAAAACAAAAGAAAATAAAGAAATTAAAAAAAAAAACGAATTTAAAAAAAAATATATTATTGTAATGAATTTTGTAATATTAATAACATTGGTTAAAATTAATTAGCATTTTTTTTTTTTTGAAATTTAACAAAATTTTTTCATTTACATATTTATTTTATTGCAGTAAGTATTAAAATTGATTTATTAATTATTTTCTGAAAATCAAAAAATTGATAAAAATTAAAAGATAAAAATTAAACTTTAAAAAAAAAAGCAATAATTGATTTTTTTTGCTTTTCATTTTATTAATAATTGTAAGTAATGAAAATTATCAATTATTTATTTATTTATTTTTATTTTTTGCTTTCTAAATTTTAATAAATTAAAATTTTAAAAATCCGAATTTATAAAAAATTTTTTTAAAAAAAAAAAAACAAAAATATATTTTTCTTAGACAGCAATACAATTTGCTAATTTGGTTTATAATCTTCGTGGATTATCACTGATGGAATTATCATCAATTGCAAATTTACAATGTGATATATTTATTGATGCCTTATCAGCATGTGCTTCATCTTCTTGCATACAGCAAATTGGCAATTTGATTAATTCACGCCTTATCACTAATGAATTCATTTTTTCATCACTAGCAATGTTATCAAATCCAACAATTGATATTATCAATTCAATTGCTACATTTATTGATAATATTCCATTTCATGGTAATAAAAGATAATTATTTTTTCAATTTTCTTAATAATTTAATTTTAATTTAATTTCATTTAATTTAAATAATTTAATTTTCATGCTAATAAAAATTATTTTCAATTTAATAATTTAATTTTTATCAATGATAATAATTCATCAATGTTACTTATCAATGATAATAATAATAAGTATGTATATATATATTTTTTTTTTGAAATTGAAAAATTTTCAAAAATTATGAGTTAAATTATTTTTTAAAAAGTAAAAACAAATCATAGTTATACTGAAGAAAGAAAATTGAAATAAAATAATTAAAAGAATAGAAGAAAACAGTAATTTTAAATTTATTTTTGTAATTTATTAATTTTATTAAATAACTTTTTTTTTAATAATTTATTATTTTATAAAATAATAAAATAAATTTTGTTTTGTTTTTTTTTTAGGTTTCTTAGCAATTTCATCGTTGGTACAATCATATTGCATTACACATTCAAATTGTCAAATGGAATTATCAGTGCAACGTATCATACATAGTATTTCATCTAAATTACCATCTAATTGTTATGTTGGACAAGAATTTGATGAAATTAAAGTGAGAATATTTCAAATATTATTATCAGTAATTAATTAATGATAGATACTTATCAATGATAATAATAAGTATATGATGGTAATTACTAATAATAATAGTGATAAGCATATAATAATAAGTACCAGTGATAGTAATGGTAAGTATCATCAATGATAAGTATATAATGATAAGTATCAATGATAATGATGAAAAGTGTATAATGATAAGCATATAAGTACCAGTGATAGTAATGGTAAGTATCATCAATGATAAGTATATAATGATAAGTATCAATGATAATGATGAAAAGTGTATAATGATAAGTACCAATGATAATAATGATAAGTATATAATGATAAGTACCAATGATAATAGTGATAAGTATCAATGATAGTTTGATAATAGTGATATCAATGATAGATGATAAATTACAAAATACAAATGTATTTTTTTACAAATTATAATCAAAAAAAAATATACATGTGCAGCTATTTCTTAGAGAGCAGTGATAATAAAATAGTGATAATTTAATAATAATATTATCAGTGATAAAAATATATGATCACTGATAGTGATGAATAAAAAATTTACATAAATATAGACAAAACATAGCCAAAAAAATGCATTTAAATATATAATAATTAATTTTTAGAAAGCAGTGACAACAAAATAGTGATAATTTAATAATAATATTATCAGTGATAAAAATATATTAACACTGATAGTGATGAATAAAAAAATTTTCAAAACATTTAAATATACAATAATTATTTTCTTAGAAAGCAGTGATAATTTTGAAATCAATTGGAAATATTGGTTACGAAGAGTATTCGTTATCATTGTTATCAGCATGCATTTCAAATGATCAAATTTCAAATGAAATTAAAATTGCTGCAATTGATGCATTACGTCGAAAACCGTGCACACATCAACGGAATAGTAAAATTATTGAATTATTCCGTAATCAAAAGGTATTTTTAAAAGATTAAAATGATTTTTTGTTTTTTTTTATTTTCTTTATTTCAAAAAAAAAGAACAAAAAAACAAAAAATATTTAATAAAAATATCAATAATTTATACAGAATTATATTAAAATTTGAAATATCTTTTAAACAAATATTTAATCTATTTTTTTAGAAAATTACCAATTTTTCATTTATGTATTTTTTATCAAAAAATTATGAAAAATAAAAAATTTCATTGATAATTTCAATGATAAAATACTATTTGAAATTATCATTGAAATGAATTTTCCTTTTTTTTTGTTTTTCAATCAACGAAATTATTAATTATTATTATTTTTTTTTTCATTCTTCTCATTTGTATCTTATATATATAATTGATAATAAAATTTTTTTTAAAAGAAAAACTATAAATTATTTTTGATAAAAAAAAAATTATTATAAAATTTTTTGTGAGAAAAAAAAACGGAAAATAAATATTTAATAAATTTTAGGAAAATACAGAAGTAAGAATAATTGCATTTCGACAATTAATGGAATGTGCAAATGATGAATTATTAAAAATTATTATTGAACAATTAAATAATGAAACTATTAATCAAGGTTAGATAAATTTAAAATTTACTAAATTTTAAAGTTTAAAACAAAAGAAAGAAAAAAAGAAAATTATTTGATAAATAATAAAAATTTATAAAAATTTTAATTTCAATATAATTATCAATTATTTATTATTACTTTTTTGTTAATACTTTTCATTTGTTACTTATATGCATAATTCATAATAATAAAATTTTAACATATAAATTTTTAATTTTAACAAAATTTTTAACACAAAGTAACATATGCGTATATTAAAGTATAATTACTAATCAATTTCAATTAATTAATTAATTAAATTATATATTTATTCATATTTAAAATAAATGTTAATAATTTTATTAATATATTTATTTCATTATGTTATTAATATGCATTATAATATTACTTTCTTTTTGTTTTTACATCTTATCAATTTATCAAATTTAAAAAAAAATAATTAAATTTTAAATTTTAATAAAATATTTTTATTTATTACAGTTGGATCATATATTTGGTCATATTTAAATACTAAACAACGTTCAACAAATCCAGGAATACGTAATTTGCAATATATATTAAAAAGATTTCACATTCCAAAACGTTATAATTTAGACTTAAGTCGTTTTTCACGTTACTCTGAATTAGGATACTTTGATAAAGAGGTAAGTAATTTTTCAATTTAAATTTTACTATTTGCAAAAATTTTAAAAAAGATTCAAATGTATTTTGAAAATTTCCTAATTTAAATTTAATTATTTCTCTTTTTTTTTGAAAAATTTTAAAAAAGATTCAAACATATTTAAAAAATTTTTTTTTCGTTTCTTTTTGTTTTTATTTTTCTTTTTTTTTTCATTTTGTTAAAATACTACGAAAATTATTAAAATTATTTTAATATAGAATTTATTAATTTAGAATTTTTTTTAACATCAATAAAATTCCTACTACTCAGAAAAAAAATATTTATTTTATTGATAATATTTTATTTATTGATTTCTGATAATACTTATATTCTATTGATTATATTTTATTGATAATAATTATATTTTATTGATAATAATGATATTTTATTGATAATATTTTTTTATTGATAAGAGATTAGCATGAAATAATTTAAAAAAAAAAAATGAAAACTTTGTTATTATTTTAAATTTATGGTAACAATTAATAAATTTAAAAAAAAATGAAATAATTTGATGAATCTATTAATGTAATTTGAATTGATTAATTTAATTAGGATAATTTTAATTATTAATTTCAATTATATTTTACTTAAAATATTTTAGAATAACTATGGTGGCCATATGGATACATCAATATTACTTATACCAAATGGATATATACCACGTCAAATAGCATTTAATTTTACAATTCATTTATTTGGAAAAAGGTAATCAAATAAATTTTAAGTAATAAAATTTTGCGCTAAGTAATCAAAAAAAAACTTAATTAAAATTTAAAAAAATTTTTTTTTCAAATTGCTTAATTAGAAACTGAATTAATTGAAAACAAATTTTGAAAGTAACAAAAAATAACAGCTGGTGAAGCTAATGAAGAAAAAGTAGCAAAAGAAAAAAGTAATCAAAAAAAGAAAAACTTAATTGAAATTAAATTTTTTTTTGTTTTAAACTTTTTAATTAAAAACTAATTAATGGATAATAAAAATTCATAGAGAAAAAAATGTTTTAGAAAAAAAAGATAACAAAAGCAATTAAAAATTTTGCGCCAACAAATAAATAACAAAAAAACGGTATTAAAAAAAAAATTAATTAAAATTTAAAAAAAAAAATTGCTTAATTAAAAGTTAATTAATTGATAATAAAAATTCATACAGAACAAAATGTTAGAGACAGATGGAAGAGAAAAAAAAATGATATTTGACCATAAAATCAATCAAATTATTTCTTATTAAATTCTTTTTTTTAACAAATTAATTTTTTCTAATTTTTTTTTGCTTTTTTTAAAATTAAATATTTTATGCTTTTTTAAATTTCTAATGTATAAACATTAATGAATTTCAGCATTTTTATTATCTTTTTTTGTTAGTTTTTCTTCTGAATTGATAATTTTTAGTGATAATTGATAATTTAAGTAATCAGAAAGCTATTAAATCCATTTTTGATTTATTTTTTTGTCCTAAAATATTAATATTTTATTAATTATTTATTAATAGTAATATTGTTACTTTATTTAATATTTTATTATTTAGACTAATATTTTCATTTGCTATGCAAATTGCTCCAAATCAATGATAAAAAATTGATAACTGATATGATTGATTAACTCACATCCAGTTAACTTGATAACTGATATAATTAACTTAACTGATAAACTGATTTATTATTAATAATTTAATGATTCTTTTAAATTTTAATGATAATTGATAATTTAAATAATCATTGAATAAGCATTAGAAATTAATAATCAAAAATTTTAAATGATAGAAATGAATTTTGGACGATATTAATAATAATCAGAAATGTTAAGTGATATGATAATTGGTAACAAATATGAATTGGTAATAATTGATAATTTATATTTTAATAATTTAATAATTGTTTTAACATTTAACAATAACTGGTAACAATGTAAATATTCATTGAATGTATTAAAAATTAATATGCATATTAATAATAATTAGAACTTCTAAATGATGTGATAATTGATAATAAATTGATAACAAATATAATTGATAATTTATATTTTAATAATTGTTTTTAAAATTTAACTTTAACTGGTAAAAATACAAATATTCATTGGATGTATTAAAAATTAATATGCATGTCAATAATAATCAGAAGTTTTAAATGATATAATAATTGATAATAAATTGATAACAAATATGAATTGGTAATTTGCATTTTAATAATTTAATAAATTTTTTTTTTAAATTTAACAATAATTGATATTAATATAAATATTCATTGAATGTATTAAATGTATTTTTCATTTATTTATTTATTTATTAATTTTTTTCTTGCAGTATAAATATTTTGGAAATTGGTGCACGAGCTGAAGGCTTAGAGAAAGCGGACGAGGAATTATTTGGCGCAGATGGTTACATAAGCAATCCGAACGGACATATCTTTCGAGAAAAGCAATTTCAATCGAAATATTCTAAATTGAATTATTTGAATGAATTATATAGAAGACGAAATAGAAATATTGAAGATTTGCTAAGATTAACTATTTATATTAGAGTAATTTTATTAATTAATAATTGTAATGAATTTATTAAATGATATTAAATAATTTAAATTCATTAAATGATTGATTCTAAATTCATTAAATTATATTACATATTTTAAATTTCGTTGAAATGATATTTATATATTTTAAATTTATTAAATAGTATTACGTATTTTAAATTAATTAAATGATATATTTTAAATTAGTCAAATAATATTATATATTTTAAATTCATTAAATGATATATTCTAAATTCATTGAATGATATTACATATTTTAAATTTATTAAAGTGATATTACATACTTTAAATTAATTAATGATATATTCTAAATTTATTAAAATGATATTGCATACTTTAATTTCATTAAATAATATTACATATTTTAAATTCATTGAAGTGATATTATATATTTTAAATTCATTAAATTGATATTATATATTTTAAACTCATTAAATAATATTACACATTTTAGCATTTATCATAAATCATTTTAAATATATATATTTTAAACTCACTAAATGTTATTAAATATCATTTTAGCTATTCATTATTTGATTTCTTGATAAGTTTATTTATTTGATAAGCTAATAAATAATTTTAATATATATATATAAATTTTTTTGATTCATTTAGATGTTTGGTGATGATTTATATTATTATGGCTATCAAATGGAACAACATCAATTAATTGATAAAATCAAAGAAAATATTGAAATTGATAAAGTATTAGCAAAATTAATGGAAGAGAAGACAAAAAAGGTTTGAAAGATTTAAATTTTTAAATTTGATCAGAAATGAATAACTAAAATTATAAGAAATATTTTAAGTAGAAATGGGGAAAAAAAAAACATTGAGCATAAATTAAGATTAATTTATAAATAATAATTATTTGAAATAAAACTAATATATTTCAGATTATATATTAGAAGGAATGGTTTTTAAAAAAATAATAATAAAAAAAAAGATTTTTTTAAAAATTATTGAAGTTAACTTTTACAAAATTACTCAAGAACTGAAAATTTTTTTTAAAAAAAAAAATGATTTCAAGGTTAATTATAGGATTCATTGTATGATAACTAATTAAGATTATTAATTTGGATAGATTATAATTAATCTTTAATATCCATAGTAATTATTACCATACCTATGAAATGATTGGAATTTAAATATATTATTTGCTTGAAATAATTGAATTTTAAATATATTAATTACTTGAACTAATTGGATTTTAAATATATTAATTACTTTATATAACTGAAGTTTAAATACATTAATTACTTGAAATAATTGAATTTTAAATATATTAATTACTTGAACTAATTGGATTTTAAATATATTAATTACTTTATATAACTGAAGTTTAAATACATTAATTACTTGAAATAATTGAATTTCAAATGTATTAATTACTTGAGCTAATTGAATTTCAAGTACATTAATTACTTGAAATAATTGAATTTTAAATATATTAATTACTTGAACTAATTGATTTTCAAGTACATTAATTACTTGAAATAATTGAATTTTAAATGTATTAATTACTTGAGCTAATTGAATTTCAAGTACATTAATTACTTGAAATAATTGAATTTTAAATATATTAATTACTTGAGCTAATTGAATTTCAAGTACATTAATTACTTGAAATAATTGAATTTTAAATACACTGATTATTGAAAAAAAAGTAATAAACTTTAATCTTTTTTTTTTTTTGAAAAATAACAAATTATTTTATTCATTTAAAATTATTTAACGAAATTTTTACTTTTTAAAAATGTTTATTATTTATAAATTATTTGCAGCTTTCACGCTATATGCTTTTATTTGAATTATCACAAACACTACCAACACTATCTGGCTTATCATTTCAATTCCTATTAAATGTATCATTTGCAGCTAAGCTAAATAGTAAATTGAAATTAAATTTTGTAAATTTATTGCAACGAAAATTTGATGCAAGCAGTCATGTAAGTTAATTATATTATAATTTTATTTTATTATTAAATATATATTCCAAAAAAAGAATAAAAGTTTAGTTAAACATTAATTTTTAAAATTTCCTTTCTTTCTTTTTTTTTATGTTTTAATTTAAAGCAAATTTTCTAATCATTTTTTTTTTTCTTTCTTTTTCTTTTTTTTCTAAAAAATAAAAGTTCGTAAAATTGTTTTTTCTTCTTTTTTTTAAAAAAAAAATATATTTTGCTATAAATACATAAATATATATTAAATCAAAAAATTTTTTAAGTTAATTTGAATTTTTTTTTGAGTATTTTAATTCAAAGCAAATTTTATAATCACAATTATTATGCTTTTCCGTCTTTTTTTTTGCTTTTTTTTTCATTTTTAAATTATTTTTCTTTTTTAATTAATTTTAAATTATTTTTCTAAAAAAGAAATTTACATATTTAGATTGACATACATCCATCAATATCAATCGCAAGAAGTGGCACAATAGTATTACGCGCAGGTAATATAGTGACAGGTGCTATGATAACATCAAATTTGTATGCTGCAACAACAATTTCACAAACAATGGAAATGATTGAAGGAAAAAAATTATTATTTAAAATTGATATTCCACACAAAGAACTTTTTGTTACAAAAATAAGGTAATTACTACTGTTATTATCATTATTATTATTATTATTATTATTATTATTATTATTATTATTATTATTATTATTATTATTATTACTATTATTATTATTATTATTATTATTATTATTATTATTATTATTACTATTATTATTATTATTATTATTACTATTATTATTATTATTATTATTATTATTATTACTATTATTATTATTATTATTATTATTATTGTTATTATTATTATTATTTAAAGCAAAAAAAAAGACAAAAAAATTTATCACAACCGATTTGTTATCAATTGTTATCATCTATTTTAATAGCTTAATGTATGATATAAGGTCAGAAAAATTTATCACAATTGATTTAATATTAATTATTATCACGAATAATTAAAAAATTTATCACAATTTATTTGATATCAACTGTTATAATCAATTTGAAATCCTTATGTTAGATATAAGATCAAACAAATTTATTACAATTAATTTGATATCAATTGTTATCATCTATTTTAATAATCTTAATAATCTTATAATCTTTCGTTATCATTTATCAAAAATTTCTTTATCATCCATTATAACTTTTTGAAAAAATTATCACAGTTTATTGGATATCAATCATTATTATTATTATCTGTTAGAATATAATTCATAAAATTTGATCACTTGTAAATTTTTTTTTTTTTTAAAACTAATAACTTATACTGATAATACATAGAGCAATATTTTTATTAAAAAGATACAATAATTTGCTATTATCATTAATATTTTCAGAAGAATAAATTATCACAATTTATTTGATAACATTAATTATCATTTATCGTCATTTAATTCATAAAATGTTATCAAATATAAATTCTTCTTAGCTTTTTATTGAATTCTAATTAATCAAATAATTAAAATTATCTTTAAAAAAGAAATAAAAAGAATGTTTAACAAATATTAAATTTAATTTTTCTAATTTTCAGTCATGATATTATCAAAATTGATAGTAATCGTTATCAGTCATTTATCATTAGACGACACAGTGATCAAAAAATACAAAAACGTTATTGTTCCGGTGATATCTTAGCAAAAATTCTTGGAATTCAAGCATGCATCGATGTAAATTCATTTTAAGAAAATATTTTTTATATTTGAAATAAAAAATAAGTTAAATTTTTTATTAAAATAAATTAGTTTTCAATAAGTTAAATTTTTTATTAAATTAAATTAGTTTTCAATAAGTTAAATTTTTATTAAATTAAATTAGTTTTTAATAAATTAAATTTTTTATTAAATTAAATTAGTTTTTAATAAATTAAATTTTTTATTAAATTAAATTAGTTTTTAATAAATTAAATTTGTTTTCAGTTTTATGCAAATTTCCCAGTAATGGAAGGAAGTATTAAAGTGGAAAAAATTGATCACAGCTTGAATAGTTTTGAATTTCTTTTAGAAAGAATTAGTAATGTAAGCTTTTCTTTTCTTTTTTTCTTTCCCTCTCTCTCCCTCTCTCTCTTTCTCTTTATTTTAAATACTATAATATATATGTATGAAAATTTTATATCTTATTAAGTAATTATTAATTCGAATTTTAATTTGAAATCAAACAAATAGAAATCAAGTGATAATTAATTCAAATTTCAGTTCAAACTAGAAGGAATGAAAATGAAGTTACAATTAATTCAAAATTTTTTTTATTCTTTGTTTTAAATATTGCATATATATATGAAAATTTCACATCGCATTAAGTAATAATTAATTTTACATCTTATTAAGTAATATTTTTTTTAAATCTTATTAACTAAACATTAATCGTCTTAGTAAGTAGTAATTACACCAGGATCGAAAATTAATCGAAAAATTGAAACTTATTTTGAAATTTCAATTCCACGTAAAAAAAAAAACGAAATTTAAAATTAAGATAATAAAATCGAAATTTAAAATCAAGATTGAATTTTTAAATTGTACTTTTTTTTTTAAAATTTTTCATTACTCGGATGATATTAAAATTAATAAATTTAATTTTAGAGAGGAGAGCAAAAATTGTTAATTAGAATTGATACACCAGGATCGAAAATTAATCGAAAAATTGAAACTTATTTTGAAATTTCAATTCCATGTAAAAAAAAACGAAATTTAAAATTAAGATAATAAAATCGAAATTTAAAACCTAGATTGAATTTTTAAATTGTATTTTTTTTTAAAATTTTTCATTACTCGAATGATATTAAAATTAATAAATTTAATTTTAGAGAGGAGAGCAAAAATTGTTAATTAGAATTGATACACCAGGATCGAAAATTAATCGAAAAATTGAAACTGATTTTGAAATTTCAATTCCACGTAAAAAACTTAAAGTTGGTATTGTTACTCCAATTAAAACAATTGTGCTAGATGGTAATTTACAACAAATGCAACAACAATTGGATGATTATGCGACAAATCTTAAACTTATCATTGATGATAAAGTTTACATTCTTGATGGCATTTTAAAGGTGACAATAATTTTTATTTGTTTATCTATTTGTCTGTTTATTTGTTATGTTTATTTATATGTTTCTTTGTTTGTTTGTTCGTTCGTTGGTTTGTTTTTTTGTTATATTTCTTTATATGTTTGTTTGTTCGTTTATTTGTTATGTTTATTTATTTCTTTGTTTGTTCTCTTGTCTGTCTATTTGTTACATTTATTTATTGTTCGTCTGTTTGTTTATTTGTTATGTTTATTTATATGTTCGTTTGTCCGTTTTTTTTTGTTATGTTTACTCATTTGTTTGTTTGTTTGTTTATCTGTTATGTTTACTTATTTGTTTGCTTATTTTTTATGTTTATTTGTTTGCTTATTTACCTTTTTTTTTTCTTTTTTAGTAAAACTATTAAATAATGATTATATAAAATCTAATGAAATTGAATTAATTGTATTTGATATTTATTAAATTCCCAATATATTTTCAACAAAAAAAAATTTAATATAAAAAACAAAAAAAAAAAAAGAATTTTTCTTATTATTTTTATTAATAATTTTTCTTTTTTTTTCAGATTACTAAACAAGGAGAATTAAATTTGTATAAATTAAATGCAAGAAGTATTGCTAAAAGTGTTACAATAGCAGAAATTACAACAGAATTACAATTTAACATTGTTAAACCTTACGCAATGTTTGATTTTCATTTGGATAAAATTTTTGATAAAGCAATTATTTTTAAAAGTAAGTTATTAAATTATTGCATATGCATAAAAAAAAAGGAAAATATTAAAGTTTTAATTTTAATAATTTCAAACAAATTTTTTAACTAATTCAATTTCATTTTGAAAAAAAAAAACGAAAAGTTGAAATTAAATTATTGCATATATATGATTTAGTTTAAAAAAAAAAAAAAATTTAAAAAATTTTAATATAAACTTTTTTTTTTCTTTTTAATTTTTTCAGTTATCATTAGCAATGCAATATGATAATTTATTTTAAGTTGGATAAAATTTTTTGTTTTTTACTTTTTAAAAAATTAATTTTATTGGATTGACTTATATTCTGATATCATTACAAATTATATTTATCCAATTAGATTATTAAAATTATTTTTTTTAAAAAAATTTTAAGAGAAAGAATTAATTTGTAATCAATTAATGCCTTTTTTTTTTTTGTTGAATAAATTAATTTTATAGTTTTAATCAATCCACAAACACCAAAATATGAAGGTAAATTGGAATATTTGGGACCAAATTTTAATGGAAAATTTGATACAACAATTATTCATCAAGGAATGATTAATTTAAAAGGTACAATAAGTGGTGAATATCAAATTGAAAATTATTCAAAACAAACACTTGAAATTGGATTTGAACAAATATTTCAAGTAAGTGTTTAAAAAAAAAAAAAGATTTGTTTGTTTCCTTTTTTATGTTTTTAATTAATTAATTATTTTAAAAATGAAAAGAAAATGTTCTTCTATCGTTTGTGTTAAAAAAAAAATTTTCTTTTAAATTTAAAAATTTTTAAATTTTTAAAAAAATTTTTTTTTAAATCTTTTAATTAAAAAATTCAATTTTATTTTTTTAGAAAAAAGGAAGTAATCATCATTTCAAAAATGCTATTTATGCTATTAGTACTGCATTTAACAGATTAGATTTTCAAATAATTTCTAATCGTACTGGCAATAATATCAAAAATTTATTGGATGCAACTTATTTTGGAAAAAAATTCTTAGCAAATTTAGACGTAATACGTGATCCTAATAATATTTACACGGCTATTGGAAGGGTAATTATTTTTAAGCATTTGCTATTTAATTTTTTTTTTATAAGAAATGCATAATTAATTATTTTATTTGTCATTAATTTATATTTAAGAAAAAAAAAATGCATAAGTTGTGCATTTAACTGTATTTTATTAATAAATTTTGAAACATGAAATAATAAAATGCATTGAGAAAAAAAAAATTTTGCAGCAATGTTTAATATTGATTTGATATTGATAATAAATATAAGTTAGATAAGATGTGATAAATTTGATATTGATAATAAATATAAGTTAGATAAGATGTGATCAATTTGATATTGATAATAAATATAATTTAGGCAAAATGTGATCAATTTGATATTGATAATAAATATAATTTAGGTAAAATGTGATCAATTTGATATTGATAATAAATATAATTTAGGTAAAATGTGATCAATTTGATATTGATAATAAATATAATTTAGGTAAAATGTGATCAATTTGATATTGATAATAAATATAATTTAGGTAAAATGTGATCAATTTGATATTGATAATAAATATAATTCAGGTAAAATGTGATCAATTTGATATTGATAATAAATATAATTTAGGTAAAATGTGATCAATTTGATATTGATAATAAATATAATTTAGGTAAAATGTGATCAATTTGATATTGATAATAAATATAATTTAGGTAAAATGTGATCAATTTGATATTGATAATAAATATAATTTAGGTAAAATGTGATCAATTTGATATTGATAATAAATATAATTTAGGTAAAATGTGATCAATTTGATATTGATAATAAATATAATTTAGGTAAAATGTGATCAATTTGATATTGATAATAAATATAATTTAGGTAAAATGTGATCAATTTGATATTGATAATAAATATAATTTAGGTAAAATGTGATCAATTTGATATTGATAATAAATATAATTTAGGTAAAATGTGATCAATTTGATATTGATAATAAATATAATTTAGGTAAAATGTGATCAATTTGATATTGATAATAAATATAATTTAGGTAAAATGTGATCAATTTGATATTGATAATAAATATAATTTAGGTAAAATGTGATCAATTTGATATTGATAATAAATATAATTTAGGTAAAATGTGATCAATTTGATATTGATAATAAATTAAATATTATCTATCAAAATCATTTTCCACTACAATTCATGTTGAAAATTGACGTCGAAACGCCAAAAATACGAAATATTCACGCTTCAGCCGAATATGCCATAAAAGTTATTTTCTTTTTGTATTTTTTAAAAAAAAAATAAAATTATTTGATAAATTTATGATAAAATTAAAAAATATTTGTTTTTTTTTCTTTCGTTTTTTAGGTCAATCCAAAATGGAATTTCAAAGGAAATATGCTACTTCGTTATTTTGACCATGAAATTACATTAAATAAGCAAATTGATGAAGTGACCATCGGTCAGTATAAAATGCAAACACATTTACAATGGAATAGAAATGAGAGAATTAATGCATTATCTGATATTATATTTCGTCCTCGAGTAAGTTAAACAATTATTCTTAAGTATGATTTTATAAATTATTTACTTTACTAAAAGTTATTTCATTTATCTTTGTTTTAAATTAAAAAAAAATTATTAGATTTATTAAGCTTATTCATTTAAAAATTTTCATATTGGTTAATATTTATTCAAATTAATTGCTAAAATTAAATTAAATTAAAATTTAAATCAAATTAGAAAAACATTACTTACAGGAAAATGACTATACCTGCTAAAATTTAAACTAATAATTAAATTAGAAATGATAAAATAATTTGTATTAATTACAGGAAAATGAATATACCATTGAATCAACAGTTAATGTTGCCGGATTAAATGAACCGTTAAATATAAGAAAGCATATCAAATATAATTATGATTACTACAAGTAAGTGTAAATAAATGAATATAATATATTTATTTACTTAAAATTAATTTCATTTTATATTTTTTTCTAAAATTCAATTTAATTTTGGTGCTAAATATTTAAAATTAATATTTTATTCATAAACTATTTTACATTTAATTTCATTTTATATTATTTAAAATTAATTTTATATTTTTATATACATATATTTATTTTTTAAATATTTAATTGTATAATTTTATTTGCAAATTATTTATATTTAATTTCATTTTATATCATTTCAAATTATTTACATTTAATTTAATTTCCTATATAATTAAGAATTAATATTAATTTACAGCATATAATGGTATACAATTATTACAGCATACAATTATTTATATTTAATTTCATTTTATATCATTTCAAATTATTTACATTTAATTTAATTTCCTATATAATTAAGAATTGATATTAATTTACAGCATACAATGGCATGCAAAACAAGGTGGTCAAACAATATATGATTTAACAATTAATCTTATTGGCCAATTTGGCAATCAACAAAAAATTAATTTTAATATTTACACCGAAAAATTTGAGCCAAAAATTAACTATCAAATGGTAAGTGATCAAAAAAATAGCAAAAATATATATATTAAAATTAATTAATGTAAAGTAATTAATTAATTTTAAATAATAAATTCTTTATTTATTTATTTTAGACAGGTGAGTTACAACCATCTATGAATAGTATAACAGCGCTTGCAACAATACGTAAAGATGGTAATCATTTTGGTACAGGTAGTATTATCCTACCAAAAACATTCAATCTACCTAATCAACAATATCGAGGTGAATTTAATTGGATTTATCAACAGGTAAGTTTAATTAATTATTTATCTGTTATCAAATTATTTTTTTTATTTGTATGATTAAAAGTGATAAAGAGAAAACGACCAAAATCATTAAATCATTGATAATTTATGATAATGTGATAACAGTGGTTAAAATAGTTTTTATTCTAATTTTATTAGCCAAAAAAAAAAAAAAATCAAAAAGACTTATTAAATATTTCGAAGAAACAAAAATTTTTGTTAACCAAAAAACTTACTTTTAATATTTATACTGAGAAATTCGATTAAAGATCAAATATATATCTAAGATAATTATGATATCTTTAAAGTAAAATAATGATGATAATATGATAATAATATATTACTAGAATAATCGTTGGACTTTAAAATAATTTTTAAAATAATTTTCAAAATAATGAAATAATTAAAAAGTTAAAATTTTTGAAGTTTTTTAAAAAATTAAAATAACTAAAATAATTTTTGATTTTTTTCTTCTTTTTTTCTTTTTGTTGTAACATAATTAATGATAATGTGATAATAGATATTAAATTTTTTAAATAAAATATATATTAAAATAAAATATTAAAATTTTTTTAAAAAAAAAAATTGAAACAAAAGAAAGTAAAAAAATTGACAAAGATAGTGTGACACACTTTTCTAACATTTTAAAAAGTGTTAATTAAATAAATAATAAAAAAAAGAAATTTCTAGCAAAAATTTGAGGAATTTGTTAGATATTAAGCAAAAATTTTGATATGCTAAATTAATTTAGCTAAAATTGCTAAATTAAATTGGTAAATTAATTATCATTTAAATTAATTAAGCTTATTTTTAGAGACCAAATAAAATAGTAATGGAATATAATCAATTAAAGCATTCATATGGTACAGTTTATGCAATAAAACTCGAATCGAATAATGATATTAATTTGAAATTACATTATGATCGTCAATATGATAAAATAATTTTTAAATGGTTAATTTTTTAAATTTTGAAAAATTAATTATTTTGTTTATTTTATTGTTTATTGCTAATTTACATAGCTTTTTTCTTTGTGTAATCTTTAAAAATTTCATTCTTTCTTCAATTTTTTTTTTTTTTTTAAAATAATGATTAAAATTATTGAAAAATAAAAAATTATTATTTTTTTTTTAAATTTAATTAATAAAAAATATTATTATATTTAGTGATTTGGATAAAAATCATATTCGAACTATTTCAATGACACTCAATGCAACATCATTTCGTTGGGATTTATTTGAAATTGAAACTCATTTAAGTACTGATAAACCATTACAACAACAATCAATTAAAACAAAAGGAGGTTTTCTCTATCGAACTGATCAAGTAATTTTAATTTAATTAATTTAATTTAAATGTTTTCTTTTTTTTTCTCCCTCTCTCTCTCTCTCTCTCTAAAGTATTATCAAAAATTTAATTTGATTGTTATATGTGATTGATGATAAACTGTTTTAATTCTGGAATATATGATATAAATGAATATTATCATTTTATCAATGATAAAATGATTTGTTTTTTAAAATTAATTTTTTAATAAATTAATGTTTAAAGGTCGTTCAAAGTAATCATTTTTGTTTGTTAATAACTATTAGAAGTATTAAAAAAATCATTTTTTTTCCTATTTTTAATTTTTTATTTATTTATTCTGCATAATTGCTCATTTATTTGTTTATTTGTTTATTTTTTGCTTATTTATTCTGTTTATTTGTTTATTTTCTGTTCATTCATTCTGTTTATTTGTCTGTTTTTTATTTATTTAATCTCTTCGTTTTGTTTATTTATTTGTTTGTTTATTTTTTTTTTCAGGCAAATATTGAAGGATTATTTGAAATAAATGATAAACGCTATGGTATTGAAGGTTATTGGCGTAAAATAATGCATGATGAAAGTAGCAGAGCATATATTTATGCTAGCAAATTTATGACACCTCAAGTAATTTTTTAATTGTTTACTTAATTTTATAAACAAATTAATTTCTAAAAATAAAAAAAAAAGAGAGAGAAAATATATTACCACAATCCATTATATTTTTGTTGATAATAATTTAAAAAAAAAGTAATAATTAATTAAATAAATAAAAGATAATTAGTTCATTGTTTTTTCTTTATTATTATTATTATTATTATTATTATTATTATTATTATTATTATTATTATTATTATTATTATTATTATTATTATATTTTACTTTATTATAAAATTCCACTTTTTTTTTCATTAAAATTTATATATTAAAAAAGTTTAAAAAAAGAATTAAATGCTAAATTTTTTTTTTTTTTTTTTTTTTTTATTTTACAGATTGGAATAAACTTTGAGCAACAATTGGAAGTGGAAAAAATTATTTCAATACGAAAAGCAAAAACAATTTTTGCGCTTATCAATGCTGGAAGAATATTAAATTTAACAAATGAAATTAAAAATGATATTACATCAATTAGTGCTATCACTGATATTATCGTAAATTTCTTTTTTTTTTTAAAAAAAAAAAATTTTTTTAAAAAATGAAAAATTAATTCAAAATATTTGCTAAAATTTTATAAAAATTATTAATCAAAGACAAAAAAAAGTATAAGTGCTATTATTGTAAATGAAATACAATTGTGTCTATTAAATGTTAAAATTAATTAAAATAATTAAAAAAAAAATATTTAAAATTTAACAAATAATTATTTCAAGAAGAAATTGTTTGTTTCAAAAATTTTTTAGATAAAATTTATGTAATTATTACTTAATTATCGCCTTTTTTTTTAAAATAACAAAATTATTTTTTTTTTTAGTTTAAAATTTTTTGATAAAATTTATGTTTTTTTTTTCTTTTTAATTACTTTCATTTCGATTTTTTCTTTTTAAAAATGAAATTTTTATTTGAAATTTCAAAAAAAAATAAATGTTTAATTTTTAAGGGAAATGAAATGATATTGAAGCATACGATCGAATATAATCATAGAAATGGACAAAGAATATTGAACAAATATTTAAAATTTAATGAAAAAGTGTTAAATATGAATTTGTCAACAATTTATCGTCAACGACAAGTTCAAATAGACATTAGCGCTTTAACAAATTTTGGTATAATTCAATATGGCAAAGTGAAGTGTTTTTCATTTTTTTAATTAATTAATTTTATTTTTTTTTTGTGAAATTATAAATACCAAATAATAATTTATCTTATTTTTGTTAAATTTTGATAAAATTAATCAGTAAAAAAAATAAATAAATTTAAAATATTATTAATGAAACATTTGTTATTGTGCGTATTTTTTTTAATTTAATACTAACATTTTTATTAAAGTTTAATAAATGAATTAAATTTTAGCACAGTATCTTTTTTTTTAGTATTTTATTCAATGATTAAATTCAATTCTAATTAATTTAAATTTGATATATAGTTCAATTTATCAAAAATAACATCTGTTCTTCTGGAATATTGAAATATTTTTGATTATTTTTATTTATTCATTTGTTTATTTAAAAAAAAAGTTTTTTTTTTAAGTCATTTTTTAATCAAATAAATGTAATTAAATTTTTTGCTTATTTCAAATATTAATTATTCAATTATTATTAATTTTTCAGTTATCAAATTCCAATTATTCAATTATTAAATTCGAATTAAATCATATTTGATACATATATATATACAGAAAAAATTTTTAGAAAGTAATATCATATATGAATTATTGAAATGTAATTTTAATTATTTTTATTAATTAATTGATTAAACCTTTTTTTTTAAAAATGCCTTAATTTTAATTGATAAATCTTTTTGTTTTTGTTTTGTTTTTTTTTTTTTTTTTCAAAATATATTTTAGATTATGTTTGATTGTCATAAAGGTCAAACATTTTGGAATTGTGATGCAGAAACTAATGTAAACAAACAATTTGTGATTAAAGGATATGAAATGTTATCAGCTCAAAATACTGATATTGGTTATTTGATAAAATTAAGCTATTTGATGAATAGCGAAGGAAAAATTAAATTTAATATTGATAATGTAATTTTAATTCATTTTTTTTATTTAAATATATATAATTTAAATTTTCATTAGTTTTATTTACATATAAATCTTTTTTAAGTTTAATTAATTATTTTAAAATGTATGTGTGACGTAGGATACGTAGATCACGTGTATTTGTATACCTATGATTGTATTTCACGTATAAATTACTCGAATACAAGTTAATTTGTTGATATAATGTGTAAATTTTTTAAACAAAATTAAATTTAGTGAAAAAAAAAAATAAAAATTGAAATTAATATAATTTAGGAAGCATCAAAGTATAATGCAAATGCTATGTTACGTCATGCTGATATTTTATATAATTTGGAATTGGATGTAAATAATAATAAAGGTATTGTAAAATTTCAAACACCAACATATTTAATCAATCCACAGGTAACTTTTTTTAATAATTAAATTTTTAAAATTTGAAATTACTATTTTTCTTTGCTTAAAATAATTCACTAAAATTTCAAAAAATTTAAAAATCTTTCTCTATTAAAAACAGAAAAAAAACTTCTTTTCAACTTTTTTATTTATTTATATTTATCACTAAAAAAAAAATTCAATATTTTGATATTTAATTATTCATTCTCGAGATTTTGTTTATAAGTTATTAAATTACTTTAAATTTTCATTTTTAAAATTCTTATTTTATTAGATTGTTTTTTTTCAAAAGATTTTTTTTCTTATTTTTTTAACTTTTTTTGTTAATTATTTTAATTGTTGTTATTAGTATTATTTGTTTTATTTTTTATTTTTGATTATTTCTTTTTTTTTGATTAACTTAATTTGCATTATGATTTTTTAATACTTGTTATGATTTTAATTTTTATTTTATTTTATTTTTTTGGGTGGAATTCTATAAAATTTATAATTGAATAATTTTTTATATATAAATCTACTAAATATATATTCAATGTTATTTAATAATAACTCATTCTGAAATTTTGTAATTAATTAATTAATTAATTATTTTAAATATCGATTTGCTAAAAGAAGAGCTAAATTATATTAAAAAAGCATTTTATTTAATTTATACTAATGAAATTATTTTAATCAAATTATACTGATAAGGTTATTTTAATCAAATATTATTAATGAGGTTATTTTAATTAAATCACATTAATTAGCTTATTTTAATTTAATGTTATTAAATTTATTTTAATAAAATTGTATTAATGGGGTTGTTTTATTTTAATTACACTAATAAAATTATTTTAATTAAATTATAGCAATGAGATTATTTTAATTTTCAATCTTCATCTGATATTGTGTGATAAAATTTTTACCTTACATTTAAAATATTTTGATCATATATCTCATTAGAGTATAAGTTATTTTGCTAATGCTTATAGCAAATTTAAAATTTTAAAATTTAAATTTATTAATATTTTTACATTCTTGAAAATTTCACAATCTGTAAAATTAAATAAATTTGCAAACATTTTTTTTAAGGTAAGAATAATAAGAAAAGGACCTACTGAATTTGAAATTCATAGTGAAAATGAAAGTGGTGGACGAATATATGCACATATTAAGACCGGTGATTATGATAAATTACTAAAAATGAAGGTTAATTTTAATTTTATATTATAATTAAAAAAAAGTGAGAAAATTAAAAAAATAAGAATGGAAGCATTTTTTTTTTTTGGAAATTAAATTTTCTTATTTTAGTTTATTTATTAATTAATGAAAAAACAAAAAAAAAAATAAAGCTAACTTTTATATATTTTTCTTCTTATTATTGTTATTATTTACTAATTTTATTCATTGTTATTATTTTCCCTAAATTTTCATTTTCTTTAAAAAATTTTTTTCATTGCCATTTTTTTATTTTAAATTTTCAAGAAAATTTCAATTATTATTATTTACTAATTAATATATAATTTATCGTTTCTTTCTTTTTCACAAATAACAAATTTTTGAATTTAGATAACAGAAATACCGGAAGCATTTGAGTTGCATTTGGAAAATAGTTTAATTAGTGATAAGCAAAAATCAATTGCTAAATTAACAGTTGATCCATCTGGAAAAAATAAGGTAAGTAAAAGTTATTTAATGAAAATTTAAATTTTTTTATTCTTATTTATTTCTTTTTTTTTGTTCTTTATTTCTTTTTAATTTTTTATTTTTTCCAAAAATTTTGTTCTTTTTTTTTAAATTTTGCTATTTGATTTTATTGTTTTATCATTTAATTCCTATTTTTCTTTTTTTTTTTTTTTTAAAAAATTTATGGAATTAGAAATGAAATTTCATTAGGTTTATGCAACTGAAAATGAAATCTTTTAGACTTACGGAATTGAAAATGAAATTTTATTTAAATTTATCGAATTAAAAACGAAATTTTAGTAGGCCCATCGAATTATGGATGAAACTTTTCTTGAAGTATGGAATTTGTAAATGATTTTTTTTTTTTTTTTAGATTCACAGAATTGAAAATGAAATTTTATTAGGTTTATGGAATTAAGAATGAAAATTCTTTTTTGCACTTACGGAATTAAAAATGAAATTTCTTTTTAGAATTTTGGAATTGAAAATGAAATTTTAATAGATTTATGGAATTAAAAATGAAATTTTATTAGGTTTACGGAACTGAAAATGAAATTTTAATAGATTTGTGGAATTCAAAATGAAATTTCCTTTTAGACTTACGGAATTGAAAATGAAATTTTAATAGATTTATGGAATTCAAAATGAAATTTCCTTTTAGACTTACGGAATTGAAAATGAAATTTTAATAGATTTGTGGAATTGAAAATGAAATTTCCTTTTAGACTTACGGAATTGAAAATGAAATTTTAATAGATTTGTGGAATTCAAAATGAAATTTCCTTTTAGACTTACGGAATTGAAAATGAAATTTTAATAGATTTGTGGAATTCAAAATGAAATTTCCTTTTAGACTTACGGAATTGAAAATGAAATTGAGGTTGAAGGTGAAACATTCCGTGCACTACGTTCAACCGTAATACAACCGAAACGAACGATAAATATTGCAATACTTCGACCAACAAACAATAAATATGCCTTATCAGTACAGTATGTAATTTATATTTATGAAAATATATTTATAAATATATTTTCAATTTTTATTCTGAATTAATTTTTTTTAAAAAATTTTAAAATTTTCAATTCTTTTTTTTTTTAAATAATAAATATTAAAGACCAAATGTTGGTGGTAGAAGACAACCAACTGTGGCCGAAATGACATATCAAAAGACAATTGATGGTTATCACTGGGAAGGAAGTATTTCTGATCAAGCATTGATAACACCATTGCAAGCAAAAATAATTTATAAAAAAGATGAAAAAGATAAAAATAATTATCGATTAGATTTACAAACAGAAGTTTGTTTCATTTTTTTTTTTTAAATTTATTAAAAATTAGTGATAAGAAGAAATTTTATAAAATTGAGCTAAAATGCTTTCAAATTTTGATAACATTTTGATCATTTAAATATTAACAAATGATAAAATTTTTTGAATAGTTATTCAAAAATATTTTAATTTTGATAAGATAATAATAGCATATTGGAAATTTTTTTAATAAATATCGACAAAATGTTCAGTTGTAATTGTATATTTGATAAGTTGTAAAAAAAAAAAAGAAAAAATGTTTAATTTTTACAAAATAATTTTTTTCATTTTTATTAAAAAGTTACAAAAAAAAAAAAAAAAAACAAATTATCATTAAAAAAAATGTATTAAAAATAGTAAATAATTGGAATAAAATTTGTTTGATTTAAAAAAAAAGAAAACAAAAATTTTTTTTAAAATAATAAATATTTTATGATATGATTTTCTCTTTTTTTTTTAAAATAACTATCAAAAATATTTCATACTGATAAGATATTAATTAGTATACTGATAACTGATAAGACTTTCTTGTTTTAAATGAAAATGAAATTTTATGATTATTTCAGTTTATCTATAGTAATCAACCGGATAAATTGTTTGCTAATTCATTTCATTTGCATCGAAGTACTTTTGTACTACCGGAACAGAATAAACGAATTGTTGTACGGAATGTTAAAAATGTTAATGATAATGTTCGATTTGTTATTGAGTTAAAAAGTACTCATCAAGCAAGGTAAGTAATTATTTACTTATATAAATGTATTAATTGAGTGAATATTTAAAAACAAATTATTTACTTATATAAATATATTAATTGAGTAAATATTTTAAAACAAATTATTTACTTATATAAATTTATTGATTGAGTAAATATTTTAAAACAAATTATTTACTTATATAAATATATTAACTGAATAAATATTTTAAAACAAATTATTTACTTATATAAATTTATTGATTGAGTAAATATTTTGAAACAAATTATTTACTTATATAAATATATTAATTGAATATTTTGAAACAAATTATTTACTTATATAAATATATTAATTGAATAAATATTTTAAAACAAATTATTTACTTATATAAATATATTAATTGAGTAAATACTTTAAAACAAATTATTTACTTATATAAATATATTAATTGAATAAATATTTTAAAACAAATTATTTACATATATAAATATATTAATTGAGTAAATACTTTAAAACAAATTATTTACTTATATAAATTTATTGATTGAGTAAATATTTTAAAACAAATTATTTACTTATATAAATATATTAATTGAGTAAATATTTTAAAACAAATTATTTACTTATATAAATATATTAATTGAATAAATACTTTAAAACAAATGAAAGAAAAATACAAAAAAAAGAAGACCGTTATTTTAATTTTGAAATGATTAAATGCCATTTAAAATAATTAATTTTTCAACTGTAAAAATTTCAATATAACATGCAAATCTATTAATCTAAATTAAAAAAAAAAATCATTTTTAATCATTTAAAATAATAAATTTACTAATTTGTAAAAAATTTAATATAATATGTGTAATATATCTATTAATTCAAATTTAAAATAAACTTTTGTTTTAAAAAATCATTTTTAATCATTTAAAATAATAAATTTACTAATTTGTAAAAATTTAATATAATATGTGTAATATATCTATTAATTCAAATTTAAAATAAACTTTTGTTTTAAAAAATCATTTTTAATCATTTAAAATAATAAATTTACTAATTTGTAAAAAATTTAATATAATATGTGTAATATATCTATTAATTCAAATTTAAAATAAACTTTTGTTTTAAAAAATCATTTTTAATCATTTAAAATAATAAATTTACTAATTTGTAAAAAATTTAATATAATATGTGTAATATATCTATTAATTCAAATTTAAAATAAACTTTTGTTTTAAAAAATCATTTTTAATCATTTAAAATAATAAATTTACTAATTTGTAAAAAATTTAATATAATATGTGTAATATATCTATTAATTCAAATTTAAAATAAACTTTTGTTTTAATTTTTTAAAAACATTTTTAATCATTTAAAATGATAAATTTATTAATTGTAAAAGCTTCAATATAATATGCAGTATATTTGTTAATTTAAATTTAAAAACGAAAAAAAAAGTTAAATGATAATTTGTAAAATAAAATTATTGTAAATAAAATTTACTTCTTTTAAACATTTATTATAAAATTTTGTAAAAAAAATATTTATTATAAATTAATTTAATTGTCAAAAAATTTTGTAAAAGTATCTATTATAAATTAATTTAATTATAGAAATATATTATAAAAGTATTTATTTTTAATTGTCTTAATTTTTAATTTTTTTAAAAAAATTAACTTTTGGCTTTTTTTTCTTTTACAAATAATACATACAAAAGTAATTATAAAAAATAATTATTTCTAATTAATATACATTTTATTTAACTATAAGCTATAATTTAAATTTTATTATAATTTAGCTATAATTAAATTTGTTTTTTTTCTAATTTTTTCTTTCTTACCTTATAAAATGTATTGTTTTTCCTTTTTTAAATTTATTATCACTCTAAAATCATCTTTTATAGCCTAATTTTATGATTTTGAATTTTATAAAAAACATACAAAAGAAAAAAATTCAAATACAATTTGGAATTTTAGAAATTTCAATCAAATATTTACTGAGTGAAATTTTATATTTTATTTTTCAGCTTTTGCTCTTTGTTTATTTAAATGAAATTCAATTTTAGTTTTGGAAAAGTTGAAAAAAGAAAAGAAATTTAAATTTTTAATTATATTTCGTTACTAATTTAATTTTAATATTATCTGTCAATTTTTTTTCCTTCTTATCAGCAATCTGAATACACGTTTATGGACTAAAATTGATCGAAGTGTAATTGGAAATGTTGCAATTCCGGTTCGTGCAATTTTCGGTTTGGAAACCAGAAATTTACAGCATCAACCGGTTGAGTATTCATTAGAGACAAGAACGGATGCAGTTAAATTTACGGAAATTCAATTGAAATCACCAAATTCAATGTTGAAAGCACGAATTGATAAGATAAATGATAATCATTATAAAGTTGGATTTTATGAGGTATAACTTTATCATTTCCTCTCATCTTATCACTCTTTATTTCAAAATTTGATTAATAACAAATAATAACTTTTTTTTTCTCTTTTGAATTTGATAAGAAATAATTTATTTATTTTTTTTAATTAACTAAAATTTGATAATTACATTAAAAATTCTTTTTCTTATATATAAAAAAATAACTTTTTAGCCATTTTTATTATCCAATCTTTTCTTTTTGCAATGTTAAATTTCAAAATTTTAAAATTAATATCATTTTCTAATAAAAAATTTTTTTTAAGCTTAGTTTTTTTTGTCAATTTTCATATTAATTAATTGATCATTTAATATATTAAATTGTTGACAAAAAATAAAGCAAAACAAACAAACAAATAAATGTAATTTGTTTGTTTGTTTGTTTGCTTGGTTGTTTGTTTGGTTGTTTGCTTGGTTGTTTGTTTATTTGTTTATTTGCTTGTTTGCTTGGTTGTTTATTTGTTTGATTGTTTGTTTGTTTGTTTGTTTGTTTGTAAAAAATTTGAAATGAAAATTTTTCAGAATTATCAACAACCATCAATTGTTGGTGAATTAAATTTGCATAATAATAAAGCAATATTTGAATATCGAAATGAACGATTGAAAGAAGTTAAATTGCATGCATCAATTGAAAAATTAAATGATTATGAAGCAGAAATTAATTTATGGCATAGTGAAGTAAGCAAAAAAATACAGGATGCACGTCTAACGCTGCAAGTAAGTAATTTTGATGTAAGTTACGTCTGCGTTAATCACGTAACACACGTGATTGACGTGATTAGATAATATATTATCAATTTTAACTAATAATTCTTTTAATTTCATTCTATTTTAATTCATGCAGTACTACTATTATATTACAATTTTTCGAATTTAATTTTACTTTAAATTCTGTAATGAATGACAAAATAATATGATATATTGAAATTTTGAATTTACTTACTTAATTACTTAAATATACTTTATGCATGTTGTATATATGTTTTACACATATATATTTTTAAGTTAAAATTTTTAATTTTAATTTTAAGACAAAAACAGAACTTTGTTTTTTTTTTAATAAAATATAAATTTTCAAATATATATATATGTCAATTTTTATTTTTACAAAATTAATAATAATTACTTTGTATTCATATTTTTCAATGTTACTTTTTATAGGTAAAAGAAGGTAATGTATGGAAGAGTAACATTTATATTCGACCAACAATAGAAAATGAAATAATTGTAAGTAAAAATTTTAATATAAAAAAAAAAAAACAAAAAGTTTTAGACTTTTTTATAAAATTTATTAACTTTAAAAAAAGAAATAAAATTTATAGACAAAAATAAATGAAATTTTGTGCTTCGATTGCTTTGAGATTATTTATTTGTTTATTTTTTATATAGAAGAAAACTAAAGAAATAATATCAAAAAGTGGAGAATTTCATCAAAATTCATTTATACCTGATGTTATTCGATCAATCTTTTTATCACATAAACAAATTGCTAATGATATTGTGACAACAGCATTAGATGAAATTATCAAACAATGGACGACAGAGCAGAGGTAAAATTTAGTGATAATAATAATAACAAATTGATAACTTGTCAAATTCAGTGATAATTGATAATCAATTAATAAATTATGGAATTTGACAAAAATAGCAATAACAAATAACTTGTCAAAGTCAATGATAATTGATAATCAATTAATAAATTATAGAATTTAGTAATAATAAATTAATAACTTGTCAAGTTTAATGATAATAAATTAATAAAATATGAAATTTAGTGATAATAAGAAACTAATAAATTGTTAAGTTCAATGATAATCAATTATTAAACTGTGAAATTCAATAATAATAATAATAATAAATTAATAATTTATCAATTTCAATAATAAGTATTAAAAATAGATTAATAAATTGTGTACCTGTGTGTGTGTGTGTTTGTCTTTTTAATTCAGTTTTTGATTAAATTTAATAATTTTATAACATTAACTTAAATGAAAAAAATTTTTGCAAAATAATATATAATATTTTGAATAAAATGAAAATGATATAATTGATAATTGTGGCATAAATTATCATTTAACTTATTTATTTATTAATTCAATTCTTTATTTATGAGTGATTCGTAAAATAAACAAATTTTTTTTAATTATAAAAAAATTTTTTTTTTTAATTTTTTATATACCTAAATTACGTAATAACTGCAAAAGCAACAAGGTAATTCTCTCTCTACGTGGTAGGGCAGCGGTGTGTACAAAGGGTAGAGACGTAATTTACGTGAGCTGACCAATCACACTTACTAGAAATTTCTCGTTCAAGGTAAGTAATTGCAATTCTCGATCTCGATTACGATGGATTTTCAAAGGGTTATTAATAGCTTTCGATGGAGGAATTTTTATTTTTTTTTTTTGTAAATTATTGAAATTTCTTTTAAATTAATTATTCTTTCTTTCTTTTTTTTTGTAAATTATTGAAATTTCTTTTAAATTAATTATTCTTTCTTTTTTTTTGTAAATTATTGAAATTTCTTTTAAATTATTTATTTTCTCTTTTTTTTTATATTCAATAATTTTAATTTGTTTTTTTTTTTCATATTTTTTTAGAAATTTTGCTGCTGAATTTGGTTCAGAATATGCAAAATTAGTGGATGAAATTGAAATTAATTATGAAATAATTAAAGAAGCAATGTTTATTGCATATGATCAAGTATATCAGGTTTGATTAAATTTTTTTTTCCTTTTTTAATAATAAATTTAATTTTTAAGAGAAAAAAAAAAAACTAATTTTTATTTTTCATTCTTATGTTTTTGTTTTTTCCTTTTTTAAATTTATTTGATTTAAAAAAAAAAAATTTTATAATCGTATAAATTTAATATTTTTATTTAAATAACTTTTTTTTTGTGAAAAAAATTCTATTTATTTATTTATTTATCTATTTTGCTTTCTTTATTTGTATATTTTTTAAAATTATTTAATTCAAAAAAATTTTTAATTATTTTTGGAAATTTTGAAAATGTTATAAAATGCTAAATTCTATTAAAATAATTTTAAAAAAAGAGTTTTTTTCTTTTCTTTAATTTCATATTTTTCATTTTTAAAAAATTTATTTGATGAAAAAAAAAAAAGAAATTTTAGGAAATGGAACAATTTGTTAAAGGTATGACCGAGAATGATTTCATTTCTCGATTAAAACAATTGTTTGATGGTAGCAATGATATTCGACAAGAAATTATAGCTTCGTTTAAACCATTTATAAATTTAATTGATCAATTATATAAAGAGGTTTTTTTTTTTTAAAATCTTTTATATTTTACAAAAGAGGAAGAGAGAGAGAGAGAGAAGGAGAGAAGAGGAAGAAGAAAACAAAAATTAAATTATTACTTTAATTTATTCTTTTTATAAGCGATATAGCAAAGTTTAAATTTGTAAGTAACTAAAATTTATTAATTCACTCTAATTATTTGATATTATTTCAATTCTTTTATATTTTACAAAAAAGAAAGAGAGAGAGAGAGAGAAGGAGAGAAGAGAAAGAAGAAAACAAAAATTAAATTATTACTTTAATTTATTCTTTTTATAAGCGATATAGCAAAGTTTAAGTTTGTAAGTAACTAAAATTTATTAATTCAATCTAATTATTTAGTATTATTTTAAAAAAAGACATAATTTTTTTGCAATTTTTTTTAATTTTGTATTAATTTAATTTATGCTTACTGTAAATCTAATTAATTTGATAAATTCAAATTTAATTAATTTTGATAAAAATGTAAATAATTTAAGATGGATAATTTACAACAGAATGCTGCAATGATTATTGAACGTTTGGAAGAAATGCTAAAATTAAAGAATTTACGAAGTAATACTTTTCTTTTTTTCCTTTTTTTTTCATTTTAATAATTTAAATTTGAAAAAAAGTTTGTTGTTTTTTTTTTGTTAATTAATTATAATTATTATTTTAATACATTGTAATTTTTGGAATACAATGATTTTTGTTTTCTTTTATTATTTTAAATTTATCAAATTTATTATTTATTAAAAAAAAAATTAATTTATTTTAGGAGCATTGGAAGAATATAAGGAAAATTTTGAACGAACTGATATTATCAGAATTATACTTTATGAAATGCAAAAATTTAGTCGACAATATCAGTTATCAGAATTAGAAAGAGCTATTGTTAACATTGAAATAAATCGTAGACGTTATCAGGATGATGCATTTGAAGTTTATGATAAAGTAAGTTATTAGCATTATTTATTATTATTGTTTTTTTTTTTTTGTTTATTTTATTTGTTTTGTTTTATTTTCTTAGTTATCAATTGTTATTTACCTAAAATTATTTATGCTAGTGATAATTTACTTTTTTATCAGTAAACATTCTTTCATAGCAAAAAAAAAAAAAGTTTTATCTGTTTATCAAAAAAAAAAGAGGAAGAAATTAAAATCAAAATTAATTTTTTGAATTATAAACAAAATTATTTGTTTAACACTGAATTATTTTGTTAATTTTATCATTACAAAAAATGCATTCATTTAATTGATTAACTATAATGAATAATTAAAATAATTAATTAATAATTACTCAATTACTTTCTTTTTTTCCACTGCCACTGAATACATTTCTTTCTACTTTACTTTGCAAATTATTAAAAAAAGAAAACATTGTAAAATAAAAATATTAATCAAAAAAATTTGTTTTAGAAAATTTTTATTTGAATACAATTCACTTTTAATTATTTGTTTTAATTTTAAGAAATAAGTTTAAAATGCTAGAAAATGGTTTAGCTAAAAATTTTTGTCAAAGAAAAAAAAAACACTTAAATTTTTATAAAATAATTTTTTTTTTTGAATTAATTTATAATTTCAGATTAAAAATTTCATTCTCGATAAAATGATTGTATCAACACTTAGCAAATTAACAATTGCAATGTTTGATTCATTGGATGAAATTCAAATTCGTCAAAAATGGCAAAATATTATAAATTATTTGAGAGGAAAAATAACAGCGAACGAAATGGCTAAACAATTTTGGAATTATTATTTACCAAATTATAAGGTTTTTATATAATTTAAAAAAAAAAAAATTTTTTTTTTTTTTGTTTACAATTTAAAATAAATATCGTAATAAGGAAACTGATTAAAATCAAGTTTTTGCAATAATTTATTATAAATAATTTCCAATAATAGTTTCAAAAAATTTTTAATTCGTATATTTATTAGATTAAAATTTAATTTTTTAGCATTTATTAAAAGTAACTGATTAAAATTTGAATTTTAAGCATTCGTCATCGAGTCATTGTGAATTGGAAGTTCAAACTGACTTAAATTTGAATTTCAGTACTGAATTGAGTGAAACTTAAATTTCAGTGTTTATTAGAACTAACTGATCAAAATTCGAATTTTGAGCGTTTATCGCTGATTCATTCTGAATTAGAAGTTCAAAATGATTCAAATTTGAAACACTGATCAAAATTTAAAATTCAAATGATCAAAATTTAAACGTTAACATACTTTAACATGCAATGAGCATTTATTAGATTTAATTGATTCAAATTTTTTTGAATAATAGAAAAAATATAATAAAAAAATAAATAATAAAAATAATAAATACTAAAAAATATAAGCGTTTATTGCATTTAATTGATTTAAATTTAAATTTCAGCTTTTATCATCTGGTCATTATGAATTAAAAGTTCAAACTGATTTAAATTTGAAATTGATCAAAAATTTAAATTTCAGCGTTTATCATCTGGTCATTATGAATTAGAAGTTCAAACTGATTTAAATTTGAAATTGATCAAAAATTTAAATTTCAGCGTTTATCATCTGGTCATTATGAATTAGAAGTTCAAACTGATTTAAATTTGAAATTGATTTAAATTTAAATTTCAGCGTTTATCATCTGGCATTATGAATTAAAAGTTCAAACCGATTTAAATTTGAAATTGATCAAAAATTTAAATTTCAGCGTTTATCATCTGGTCATTATGAATTAAAAGTTCAAACTGATTTAAATTTGAAATTGATTTAAATTTAAATTTCAGCGTTTATCATCTGGTCATTATGAATTAAAAGTTCAAACCGATTTAAATTTGAAATTGATCAAAAATTTAAATTTCAGCGTTTATCATCTGGTCATTATGAATTAAAAGTTCAAACTGATTTAAATTTGAAATTGATCAAAAATTTAAATTTCAGCGTTTATCATCTGGTCATTATGAATTAGAAGTTCAAACTGATTTAAATTTGAAATTGATCAAAAATTTAAATTTCAGCGTTTATCATCTGGTCATTATGAATTAGAAGTTCAAACTGATTTAAATTTGAAATTGATCAAAAATTTAAATTTCAGCGTTTATCATCTGGTCATTATGAATTAGAAGTTCAAACTGATTTAAATTTGAAATTGATCAAAAATTTAAATTTCAGCGTTTATCATCTGGTCATTATGAATTAGAAGTTCAAACTGATTTAAATTTGAAATTGATCAAAAATTTAAATTTCAGCGTTTATCATCTGGTCATTATGAATTAGAAGTAGCTGTACCGTACGGTGCTTCATCATTAGAAGAAATTTTAAATAATCTTCATCCACAACATTTTATTGCACTTAAATCAGCATTGATTGAATCATTTGGCTTATCAGATAAAGATCAAGTTAGTTAATATATATGTATATTTTATTAACAATTTATATTATTTTAATAAATTTTTCAATTTTCTTTTTTTATGTGACAAACATTTTTATATTTATATTTTTCATTTTATTTATTTATTTATTTATTTATTTTTTTTTTTTGTAGGAATTTGCACAATCTTTATCGGATACAATTTACACTTATAAATCAATAAAATTAAATCCATGGAAAATCATTTCACTTTATGAAAGTATGTTGTTTTATTTATTATTTATTTCTTGCAAAATAAAAAACAAAAACAAAAACAAAAGAATAAAAATTTTAATTTTAATTAAATTTTTTTTTAAATTTTTTAAAAATTTTTTTTTTATATGAATAAAATGATAGTAAAAATAAATAAAAAAGAGAAAATTAAAATTAAAAGTTTTTTTTTTTAAATTTAAAATTTAGGTATTGCATATATAATTAATGGTAATCGTTTTGTATCATTTGACGGACGTGTATTCGCATTTCATCACGCTCGTTGCGAATATCTTCTTGCGTCAGATTTACGTACTCAACGTTTTGCACTAATAGCAATATTTTCATCACAAGGATATTTAGAAACTATTAAAATTGAATTACGTAACGATGAAATACTCTTTCATAAAAGTGGCAATGTGATTAATTAATTAATTAATTACTAATTATTTGCTTATTAATTCCTATTTTTTTTGTCCTTTTCATTTTCTTCTTTCTTTTTTCAACAATTTGATTTTCTTTTTTAGTAAATTTTATTAATGTTTTTTGATTTAGGCAAAAATCATAATTAATAATTAAGTTTTAATCAATAACTGAAGTTACATTTTGAGTTAAAATAAATTAAAAATACAAAATTAGCTAAGATTACATACAAATATCATTAAATTATTATGAATTACTAAAATATAAATTAAATATTTCAAAAAAAGAAAGAATTGTTTTTCCAATTTTTTTAGTTTAAATTTTTAGCAATTTAATTAAATAAAAATTTTTATTTTTATTACTTTTAGAATACAATGATTTATTGTTACATTTATTTATCACTAAATAATTCACTAATTTAAATTTTCCATTTCCTTTTTCTCAGCTTTGTTTTACAATCCAAAATTTTAATAATTTAGTTGAATAACATATTTTTTTGCTGAATTGCAAATTTTTTTTTAGAAAATTTTAGATTTAAATTTTAGATACAAATAAATGGTGCACCATTAATATCAATTCCATGGCAAAAAATTGATAGCATTGATGGAGCAATTTTAATTTCAATTTCTCGAAAAGATCATTGGACAATTTTAAAAACCTACGATGGCTTATGCATACGTTGTAATAATCAATTTTATATTTGTGAAATTATTTTATCAGGCCGAATGCATGGACGTAGCAATGGTCTTCTTGGATTAAATGATAATGAACCATCAAATGATTATAATTTAATTGATGGTACATCTAATGATCAGGTAAAATAAATTATAGATGCATTTAATAATCAAAAAAATTAAAATATTTAATATTAATATTTAATTTCTGAAATATTTAATAATGATAATGAATTGATAATCAAATGATTATGATTTAATTGATGGTACATCTAATGATCAGGTAAAATAAATTATAGATGCATTTGATAATCAAAAAAATTAAAATATTTAATATTAATATTTAATTTCTGAAATATTTAATAATCAACATTTGGCTTCCTCAATTTTTTTTTAGCATTAAAATATGTTTATTGATGATGATATTGATGATGACTTCTGTCTTTTTTTAATCAGTTTTAAATAATTATTAAAAAATTTTCATTCTAAATTTTCATAAAAAATTTTCGTTCTAAAATGAAATATTTTCATGCATTTTTTATAAATAAAATTATTCAAGTATAAATAAAAAAAATTTCATATCAGTATATAATTTAAAATAATCAATCAGTTAATAAATACTAGTTTTTTTTTTGCATTATTTGTTTGTTTATTTGTTTATTTTTTATTTTCTCTATTAATTTTATTTACTTTTTTTATTTGTTTATTTTATTTATTTATTTAAAAAATTGAAGTGTAAATTTTGTAAAAAAAAAAAATGTAACATTATTTCTAATCATAATTACAACTGATAAAAAAGAAACACTACAATTTTAATTTTTTGATAAAAATTGAAGAAAACAAAACAAAACAAAAAAGTAAATAATAAGTTTACAGCTAAACGTATTAGCTGAACATTGGGCAATAAGTGGTGAATGTGGCGTAAATCAGGCACGTGATTTGACGTATCGTGATGACGAACGTTGCCAAGAATATTTTCAAAATTCTGATAGTCCATTAAGACTTTGTTTTAATCATGTAACTTTTTCTTTTTTTTTTTTTGTTTCAATTAAAAAAATTTTGCAACAAATTTTTTTTTTCTTCTTTATTTCTTCTTTTCTGTAAATAAATTTTATAAATAAATTGCTATAAAATAAAGTAAACAAATAAGTAAATAATAAAATATTTGAGATATTTTAATTAAATTATCTAATGAATATTTATTACTTCGTCTTTGTTTTCTTTCTTTCATAAATAAATTTTATGAACAAATAAATAAATAAGTAAAATATTCAAAATATTTCAATAAATTTATCCAATAAATATTTGCTAGTTCGCCTTTTTTTTTTCTTGTTTTTAAATGAATAAATTTTATAAGTGTAAAAAAAAAGTTAATCAAAAAATTAAAAATTAATTAAATAAAATATTTAACACAATTTAATAAATTTTAAATTATAATAAAATTAAAAATTATCTGGTTCAACATTTGTTAAATTATCTTTCTTGTCCTTTTTTTCCTTTTTTTGTTTTCTAAATAACTTTTTATAAACAAATAAACAAAATAAATAAATAAATAAAAAGAAATGAATTATTTGAGATATTTTAATTAAACTATTTAATGAATATTTTCTCTAATAGTATTCTTTTCCTTTTTTTTTAAAAAATCTTTTAAATTTAAGATACGACCAAAACTTTTTTCTTTCTTCGTTTTCTAAATAACTTTTTATAAACAAATAAACAAAATAAATAAATAAATAAAAAGAAATGAAATATTTCAGATATTTTAATTAAACTATTTAATGAATATTTTCTCTAATAGTATTCTTTTCCTTTTTTTTTTAAAAAATTTTTTAAATTTAAGATACGACCAAAACCATTTGAACAAATTTGCTCAAATGGTGGACGACAACAGCACTGCATTGCTACAGCAGCATATCATCAAATATGCGCAAATGTCGGAATTATGATAGCATTACCACATGAATGTGGTATGAATTACTTTTTCATTTTTTTTTTTTTTCAAAAATATTTTAATTAATTTAATAATAATTTAATTTAATTTATTTTAATACTGTAACATTCTTTTTTGATTGTTTTCTTTTTCAGATATTTTAATTTGTTTATTTTTTTTCTGTTTTTTATCAAATACTTTTAAATTTATCAGTAAATTTATCAATAAGTTTTATCAAATACTTTTAAAATTTATCAATGCAAAAAGAAAATATAAAAAAAAGAAGAAAATATTAGTGTATTCTTGTCTATTTGTAGATCAATTTTCTTTTTTCTTTTACATTTTAAAATATTTTTTTTTTTGATTTTTTTTTTCTTTAATTATTCATTCATATATTCAATTTTAATATATAATTTTTTTTTTTTTAAAATATTTTTTTAGCAAAAAATTGCTTTTTTTTTATTTTAATATGAATTTTTTAAAATTATTTTTCATTCTTAATATAAATATTGAAAATTAAATATTATATGTTTAAGTGATTTATATTTAAAAAAAAAAAAAAAAAATGGAAACAATAATTATACTATTATTTTGCATTCATATTGAATTTTAACATACAATTTTAGCAAAAAGTTTTTTTTTTTTTATTTTAATATAAATTTTTTTTTTAAATTATTTTTTATTCTTAGTATAAATATGATAATCAAAGTGATTTATCATTTATATATTAAAATTGAATATGAATGCAAAAAAAAAATCGTAGTATAAATATGAAAAAAAAAATTGAAGTGATTTATATATATTTTATTAAAATTGAGTGATTCAATGACTCATATATTTAAGTTATTTATATTTTGAAAAAAAAAAATGAAAACAATAATTATATTATGAATTTTGTATTCATTCATAAGTTTAATTTTAATTTATAATTTAAAAAAAAAAATTTAAAAAAAAAGAAAATAATTAATATTGCAGTGAGATGTGATGGTGATTTGCATTTGGATGATGAACGAATGATTGAAAAATCAATCATTGATCATGATATTATATTTGTTGTTGAAGAAAGGAAATGTATGAATCATCACAAGGAGAAATTAGCACAAATAGCACAACAAATTAGTCATCAACAACGGTATTAGCATTTATTTAATAAATTTTAATAGTAATAATAATAATAATAATAATAATAATAAAATAATTTTAATAATTGTAACAATAATAAATAAATTATAATATTTATAACAACAATAAATAAATTATAACGATTAAAACAATAATAAATAAATGATAACAATATTATAGCAATAATAATTAAATTTAATAAGATATAAAAATTTTGTATCTAACTAATTTCCACTAGCCATTTTATAATTGATTCAAAATTTAATTTAAATATTGAACAACAAATAAATAAATAAATAAATGATTACAGTTTCTTTTTAAATATTCAACAACAAACAAATAAATAATAAATAAATGACTACAATTTCTTTTTAAATATTCAATAACAAATAAATAAATAATAAATAAATGATTGCAGTTTCTTTTTAAATATTCAACAACAAACAAACAAATAATAATTAAATGACTACCGTTTCTTCTTAAATAACAAAGAAATAAATAAACAAATAATAAATAAACCATTACAGTTCCTTCTTAAAAATTCATCAACAAATAATAAATAATAAATAAATGACTGCAGTTTCTTCTTAAATATTCAACAACAAACAAATAAACAAATAGTAAATAAACGATTGCAGTTCCTTCTTAAAAATTCATCAACAAATAAATAAACAATAAATAAATGATTACAGTTTGTTTTTAAATATTTAACAACAAATAAATAAATAAATGGCTACAGTGTTTTTTTTTTTTTTTTTAAATAACAAATAAATAAATAAATAATCAGAGCCTCTTTTTTTTTCCAATTTTTTTTTAAAAAAATTTTAGATCGGTACGTTTTGGTTGGATCGGTTTTGGTGGCGAAGGTGTGCACCATGAACCATTGGTGCATTATGAACAGAATGAAGCATTGATGGATACTTTAGCATTTATAAAACAAACACAACAAACATTTGAATCAATTTCTGGCATTGAACAAACATTTATTTGTCCTAAAAAAGCATTGGAATTTACAATAAAACATTTTCCATTTAGGTAAAATGCCATTATTGTTTTCTTTTTTTTTGTTTATTTATTTATTTTTCTTTTTTAATAATTAAATATAAATTAATTATTTCAAAAATTTGTACAAATTATTTTCTCAATTTAAATAAATTAAAATAAATTATATTCAATAAATTCATTGTTTTCATTTAATTTAAATAAAAAATAAATTACATAATGTAACTTGTACAAATTATTTCAATAAAAAATAGATTAATATTCACTGCTTTCTTTTTTTTTTTTAAGTTCATAGAAAAATAAATTAGAAATGAAATAAGATAATAATTATATGTAAATTTTTTATCTCAAAAATAATGCATTCATTGTTTTTGTTCTTAATTAATAGTATAAATTGTAATTACATTTATTATTTTTCCGGTTTTTTCGTTTTTAATTCAAATAAAAAAGAAATTATTAATGAAATTTGATAAATTAATATTAAAAAATTAATTTCCTATTTAGGTTTGCAAGTGCTAAAAGTATTGTTTTGGTTATATGTAAAAAATGTTCACAAAATGGACATAAAGAAATGCTTAATATGTTACTTGAACAAGTAAATTTAACCTTTTTTATTTTTATTCTCAATTTTAATTAATTAATTGATTAATTCTTCTTATACTCAACAATATAAAAAATTTAGTTACTTTTTTGTTTATTTTAATTAGTATTGCAGAGAAAAAATAATAGAGGCAGTGAAATAATTTGAATTAATTTAAATGTTAATCAGAAATAATCAGTTATTCATTATTAGTATTCCATTACAAATATGTATTCAATTACATTCTATTACAAATATTAGAATTGTCACTTCGTTTTATTTTGTTTTATTGCATTTTTTTTTTTTTTTTGTTTGAGTCATAAAATAATTACATTAAATTATTTATTTCAGAATATCACAATGCATTTATTAACATTAAGCAAATTTAAGACAAATGATGGAAGTAAAATTGTTGGTAAGTTAAATTTAAAAAATTTAATCAATCAAAACAAATAATAATTAATCTTAAAATTATAAACAATAATTAATTTAAAAAAAAAAAACTTTTCTTTATTCATTTATCATTCTTTTTAAAACTTAAAAACAGGATGTGAATTAAATTCAATAAATAACATTACATATTGAAGAAATTCAAAATATTTGGAAATAGACAAATCTATTATTTTTTTTTTAAATCTTAAAATGTATAATCTAAAAAGAAAAAAATGCATTATTTACAATCATTTTTGAAAAATTCATCTTCTGTTAAATAAACTGAAAATGTCAAAATTTAAACGAACAAAATTAAAATTTCATTTTGTTTAAATTTAAATTATGCCTAGAATAAATACAATTTAAGAATAATAATGTTCAGAATGTTACTAATATTACTAATTATCATTATTATTATATTTACTATAATTATTATTGTTTTTTATCATTTATTTAATATTATTATTATTACTATTATTGTTATTAATATTATTATTAATTATCATTATTACTGTTGATGGTTATTATTATTATTACTTTTCTCATTATTATTAATTATTATTATTAATATTATTATTACTAATTATTGTTGTTTATCACTATTATTGTTATTAATATTATTATTAATTATCATTATTACTGTTGATAGTTATTATTATTATTACTTTTCTCATTATTATTAATTATTATTATTAATATTATTATTACTAATTATTGTTGTTTATCACTATTATTGTTATTAATTATTATTATTAATATCATTATTGCTAATTATTATCATTAATTATCATTATTATTAATTTGCTCTACAAAAATAAACCATTAATTATTATGAAAGGAATGAATGCAAAAGAATTATTGAATGAATATGGGGCGCAAATTGGACAACGTTCATCACTACTACATCCGCATGATAGCTGCTCAGTTATAGCTCAACAAACATTTGGAACTGTTTTCTCACTTGTAAGTAATTATAATTTTATTACTGAAAATTATTTGATTAATTTTTTTTTTTTTTTTTGAATCGTAACGAAATATTTGAAATTTTTCAATACTAATTCATTGTTTTTGAAATTAAAACATTTAATCTAAATTCACATTAATTCACTTTTAGGTTATTTTTAATTTTTATATTAAATTTTCTTTTAGTATATGTCTAATTCTATATTTATTTAAATTTTAGTACACGTTTAATTTTATTTTAAATTCTGTTTTAGTATATAATTCATTTTATATTAAAAACTCTCTTATTAAATTTTAGCATATGTTTAATTTTTTTTCTATTTTTTATTTAAAACAAATTATATTCTCTTTAGTATTTGTTTAATTTTTTTTTTCTTTTGTTTAATTTGTCAAATTTTATATTAAGTTCATTTTTTTTTTTTTTTAATAAATTTGTAGCATATATTTTAATTTCATATACAATTTTCCTTTGCAATAATACTTTATTTATCATCTTAGACATAAATTATTTAAGCTTCATCATTTTCAGATTTTTTTTTTCTTCTAAATTCTTCATTACTTCGCCTCAATTTTCTATTATTACTTTGAATAATTATTAATTTTCTTCCTCTCTGTTTTTTTTTTTCATAAAATTATTAAATTTTTAAAGTTAAACGATCATCTTTTTAACTAAAATTATTTCTTCTTACTTTTCTTTTTTCTTTATATTTATTTTCCCTTAACATTTACCACATAATATATAGAGTTTTGGTGTAAAATTTTTTAAAAATTATCATAGTATTAAAATATAACAAAAAAAAAAAAATTTTTTTTTTAAAAAAAAAAATTAAAATAATTTAGAAATATGGTTTTACGATAGCAGCATCTCGAATAGCTTACAAACGAGAAAGTTATTGTTTCAATTGTCAATGTACCATTGATAGATTATTTGCGCGTAATATTTGTCGACCATGTGAAGCAGTTGAACCAGCTGAATTGGTTAAAAACAAAATTATTGATTAATTAATTATAATTAATTAATTAATTAATTTACTATTTTTTTTTTTTGAATATTATAAAAGTAGAAATAAGCGATGTATTTTCCATCTTAAATGTAATAGTTTAACGATTATGAAAAAAAAAAAGAAAAGAACGAAAAACTCAGATATCAAACCTATTAATTAATTAATTAATTAATGTATTTAGATCATTTTGAATTAAAAGAAAAAGAAAAAAAGATAACGAGATCAATGAAAAAAAAAAAGCTATGATAAATAAACTGTCATAAATATTTTTTCTAAATTATTTTTTTTCAAAAGATTTTCAAACATCAATTAAAAATAATACTTGTTAATATTTTTGATTAAATAGTGTAAATATGAAATGAAAAAAATTAATTAATTGATAATAAACCATATGATTAAATAAAGATTATAAGTTTTTAAACTCTTAAACTTAATAATTCCTATATTTTAGGTATCATATAGAATGATCGATTCGGAACCCGATAATGATCCACAATTTCTTGACCTATTCATTTAATAAGTTATACTTTAAAAAAAAAAAAAAAAAAAAAACTTTTTTTTCTCTTTTTTGTTCTACTAATTTTCCTTTTCCTTTTCCATTTCCATTTCAAAATTATAGTCTATTTATTATGCATTTTATTTCACTAAAATATTCTCATTTGATAATTATATTACAAAAATTATTGATGGTAATTTTATATTTTCAAATGTATGCCATTTACGACATATGCCTTTCTTGATAATAATAATAAAAAAATGTTTTTTTCTCTCATTTTCCTTCGAAACTGAAATAAACATTAATAGTTTGAACAAAAAACAAAAAAAAAAAAAAAAAAAAAAAAAGAAAATTAAATAAATAAGTGAAAAGAAAAAAAAAAAACATAAAAATAGAATAAAACAAATAAATGAAAAAACAAAAACAAAAACAAAAGTAAAACTAACCATTGCTTTTAATAATGTTCAAATAATCACCACCCCACTAATTACATTTTAACATATTTTCATTTGATTAATTCATTTAGTTATATGTTAATATTTTCAACAGATTTCATATATTAGTGAACCTAAAAATTTATATATTTTCCAATGATATATATTAAAATTATTACAAATATAAACTTATAATATCTTACATTATCATATGTTACTTTTTTTTCACAAACATTTTTTAATAAAATCATATAATTTCTAAATGATATTAATGTAAATCAATTGTATTGGAAAAACAAATTCAATTGTAATTTATAAGAGAACAATTATAAATCAAGCACATAACATATTGAAATAAATATTATGCAATAATTAACAATTGTTTATTGTTTACAAAAATATCCTTCAAATGAATAAATAAAATATTTAATAGGAAAAATTGTAACATTAAAACTTAATACATGAAAATTATGCTACAATGAAATAAATGAAATTTGTCAGTATTGTAAATAGATGAGAATTTTGTTTTAGAAATTCTAATAGAATGATAAATTTTCGATATTCTGCTATTTGATATTCATCACTTTCACCTAATTTAGACTAAAAATATTAATCACTTTTTCTTTTTTTCAATAAATTCTCAAATGAAATTACAATGAGTGATAGCGCACATTATTTATGAATGATAATAAATGGATTTAGAATTTGTACTGTCAAACAATTCAACAAAATATAAGATTATAGTGCAACTCTGAAAGTGATGCTAAACTATAAACTTTTTATTATGCAGATTTCCACTTATGTTGAACTCTGATGCAACGGGATTTTAAAATTGACATTTTTATACTTTTCAAACATTCACTATTGATTAACCACAGAAAAAACAAAGAACCAAGAAATAAAACTTGAAAATTTGAAACAACAAATCAATGGGGTATTTAAATGGATTTGGACAAAAAAAAAAAAAAACATTCGTTACATTTTAGATGCTATCTCACATGACTGAAAATTTATAGTATATACGAAATAATTCAGCAGTTGCACTTTTGATTACAATTTATGTAACATGCGCGACCATATTTTTGCTTCAAAGGAAAAGCAAATAAAACATATCAAATTAAAATAAATTTGGCAAAGCAAAATTCCCACTATGATGAAGTTTTGCTAAAAGCCAAAACATAAGCGAATCAATAATTAGTATCATTTCCATTTGATGCATCGTCAGGTCTATCTCGATCACGCTCACGCGCTACAGGACTGCGAGAATCACGAGGCGGTGGGCTTCGAGAATTTCTTGCTGGTGGGCTGCTTGAATTTGCAGATCTTCGAGACACTGGTGATCTGTCACGTGAAATACTTCGACCGCGTGAAGTCGAACGTCTTCCATTGTATCGCGAACCACTACGACTTCGTGTTGAGGAACGTCGACGTCGTGGTGAGCGTGAACGCGAACGTGACCGCGAACTGAAAAACGATACTTATCGATAATGCAATGAATGCGAATAATCGAAACGTGAGCTACTTCCACTGTTCAATGCACACAGAATAACTTTCTGTGAAATAAACTGCGCAACCTATTAATACTACAAAATAGTCAAAAGTAGTTTATAAGTGTAATCAGTACCAGTAATCTGTATTTTTATGATCATTCATGATATAAGGAGTATTTCATACTATGCCGTCCTTATATACTTCATTTTATTTGGCATAATCGAGGAAAAGACTTTATTCTTTCTCAAACTTGACTGCTCCAAGGCGATGGATGATCCGACTGATAAAAGGTATCTCATTTCAAGTTCTTATTGACTTTCCCATTTATCTATCTATGTGCTATCAAGGCCCACTGTAACATTCAGATAATTTCTAATCATTTCATTAAAATCATTAAGACTTGAAAAAAAAAACTCCACCCCCCGAATAGATAAGTAAATGGCATGCCGCTGATTCATGGATGCTATCACACAGGTATTGGATATCATATCCAAAAAAGGCACAAAAACGATTTTGTACGAAAAACTGACTGACCATCAAATGTAACACAATCAGCAATCAGCATGTAATTAATCTTTGTTCTGTACCGGAGTCTCTCTCTTATCCTCCCTTTTTTTTGGTTCAGGCCAAGCCAGAAACACAGCTACGCTGCCCAACAACAACAACAACGACAACAAAAACAACAACGACAACGACAAGAGCAGCAGTCAACTGCTCTATGGAACAGCAGCTCAGCAAGCCAATTTTCCCCTGAGATGTGGCCGTTTTGCTTGATGCATTTTTTATTTCAGCTAACAGCAGCTACACTGTATCTCGGTGATTAGCAGCAGCAGCAACAGCAGCAGCAGCAAACCACGGCCGCCTCAAAATTACAAATTTATTATTTTTCGGCAAGTTACTTTGCAAAATTTTTGAGCTAACTTCATATGGGATGATGCATTAACAGCGATTATCCACCTTGATGATTTTTAATAAAAATCACAAGTGTCACCTTCAACTTTTGATTAAAGAAATCAAACGCAAGTAAATTTTCATTTACTTACTTGTGTAACTTAATTATGGTATTTCTCTTTAAATGTGATTGCCAAAGTCAAGTATCCATGTGAATATGAACGTGTGAATTTACTAACCGTCGACTACTTCTGTAACCGCTACTACCACCATTACGACTACGTTCATCGATTGGGCGTTCATAACGTGCCATGGCAACACGGATCTCACGGCCATCGACCCATCGTCCATCCATACGATCCATTGCATATTCCGCATCTCGTCGACTATAAAAGCGCACGAAACCAAATCCTTTGCTTTGCTTGGTGTAACGATCGCGAGGAATGTGAATATCACCTATTTCACCGTATTTCTCGAACAAACGACGTAAATCTTGTGGTGCCGTTTGATATGATATATTATCAATCTAAAACATCAGAAATGTATTTCAAACTAGTCAAACAAGAAAAATAAGTAGAGTATGACAAAAATCAAAAAGTCAACAAGCTTACTAATCCACTAGAAATAAATATAAAATTATTAAAGCAAAATTTTCTCTTATAATTAATATATCACGATAGAAATGAGCGAATTAGAAAATATCATTGTAACGAAATATTACAGATCAAATGAAGAGAAAAAAAAAGGAAAGTATTTAATTATTTTATAAGTTTATCCATGATACACATGGCTCTTATCACTGCATATAGTTTGACGTCTCAATACAGCCTTGCTTGAGCTTTCAGCTAAGCATTTAATCACATAGAAAATGCCAACCATTGATTACTTATTCTTTCTCCCTCCATTCCTACTAAATAAATAAAAAATAAGTTAAGAGATACCTTGAGAGAGTATAAGCCATCAATTGACGGTGGTCCAGGTCGTCTACTCATCGTTACCAATGCTTGACGATTACTTACTTGAACCCTTCAAGTGATGTTTTAAGAAATTAAATTTTATCTGACTTATCTTTTAATTTTAATCAAAAATTATTAATTGTATCATCTCATGTCACTTGTCTTTTTTAAATGACTAGAAATACTAGAAGCACTTAATTTATGCAGAAACTATGCAACTACCTATGCACAACTACCATATATCAGTATGCTACGGACAACATGCTCATGTCACCCTGATTGGTGACAATGAAAATTATTGGTCCATTAAGCTATCAGTGTATCCAGTTCGCTGAATGAAAAGAAACGGTATTTCTATTTTCTATCAAACACTATACAAATACTATTAAATTCACAAATCATTTTGTTGAATCAATGCAATTGGACAGAATATTTTTTTCTTTTTCAGAAACATCAATGTTAACCTCAAAATTCAGTCCCACTTTTCGATGCACAGCTTTTTATATGATTACTTGAGTTATACAATATAACAATTATTAAATTTGATAAATGACATGAAACTCATGAGCTACTGATAGCAAAATGTAATCTTCATTGCATAAATTAGGAATAATTAAACCTTCCTTTATGCTTTACAAATTTATGGATATGTTTATTGCTGTACAATTTATAGAAATTATTAAAATGATAGAAGATCTGATTTATATGCCATGATGTTGAGCAAGTAATTTGATGAAGTCTTCATGAGATGCATACAGCTTTTGACCCAGTGAAACGGTAATCCATCGCAATTTAATTGCATCATCTCCTGCCTGGAATTTTACATCATTCACTCCAAAAAAAAAACAATTTCCAATTTAATTAAAACTGAGTTTGAATTACTATAAACAAAAGTTGGCACAATAAGAATTTGAAACCATTTACATACTCTAAGCGTGACATTGTTTAGGTAGCCATCGTTATCATGAAAATTAACCACAACCGTTTCCATCCATGCATTATCTGTATTCCGTGGATCATCCACATAACCACGATACAGCTCCACACCTTTACGCCAAAGCATATCCAATTCTGGATACTTTTTACCATCCAGTGCCTCTTCCGTAAATTCTCTAAAGTTTTGAAAATTTTTTCCTTTTGAAAAATCATGCCACAAAATGAAGACTTCCTACCTTTTCAACGTTTCTTGTACATCTTCACCAGCATCTACCATACCCCCAGGAAGAGCCCATTCACCGGAATCTCGCCGGGCGATCCCAACAAACTGTAATTGCCCGTGGTGGATTCGACTTACAATTGGATCTGCTGCGTGATTTGGTCCCCACTTACCCAAAACTCCACGTCCTCGTAATCCTGTTCGTCCCACCGGATTAAGTGGTCGCCCAGTTCCATCCAAATTATATTTCCTGAATTTAATTAAATTACAAAGAAATTCTGTTTCTCTTGAGATGATGGCCACAATAAATGCAAAAATGGTATATGTAGTAATATAATCATAAATGTAATTGAATAAATAAGTTACCCCATATAGGAACGTCGATCGATTAATCCATCAACATCGTTCCATTTGAATTTCTGACTTTCGACATTAACTGAATCTGCCCAGGGTTTACCAATAGCTCCTGAGCTTGTGAAATCATTCGGAGCGTATTCAGGCCAAACAACTTCCCATTTAACTTTATCATCCGGTACCTTTACACGATAGACATCACTACGCAGATATGGTTTTTCTGGAAATACAAAACAAAAAATTATCAAGCAGCCATAATATTTTGCATAATTTCCTTAAGTTGCACAAAATATATATTACGTATTTATCCTATTTAATTAATCAATTTATTTATTTACTAGTTCATGAATTTGATTAATCAGCTTACACATATATTTATTTATTTAGTTAGTTACTAGTTATTGAAAAATTTTTTCACTAGTTAACAAAAAAAAAATGTAATGAAAGAAGTAGTTTAAAAAAAATATAATAAGGCAATAATAATAGTAAAAATAATAAAAGAAATTTACTACTTAATAAAAAAATATTTAATTAATCAACTTATTTATTTACTAGTTAATAAATTGATAATTTGAAAAATCATGCGCAAGTAAAACATAAGTGCATAAACATGTGTAAATATTATGGAAAACAACCGCAACTTCTACAATATGGCTATGAAAATTTTAATTTTACGTTTTAAATTCACTCATTTTTTGTACACGATGTGAAAAAAGCAACGCCTGACAAATATGTTGCTAAATTTAAAAAAAAAAAATATATATTTGGTTAAAAAAAATAATAAAGTATTACAATAGCAATAACAAAAAATCATCAAAAAACTCAAGTTGAAAAAAAAAAAATTAAATAAATTAATAAAGAACAAGAATTTAAACGAAATAAACCTATATTTCGGCATTTATAATGCATTTTTGAATTTGTAATCATAACAGAATTCATAACAAGTCGAACAGATCGAACATTTGCAATAAGCATTGACGAAACATATTATATCGCGATCAATCAATACAATCTGTGATAGTATAATTTTATTTTAAAAGAAAAATTCAATCATAAACACAATTATAATTATAATCATAATCATAATCAAACTTAGGATTACAATCATTTATGAAATTAAAACAGTGATTTTAAATTTATTAAAATTTAAAACACCTTTTTACCAAAACAGCCAATAAGCAAGAAGCAATTGCAATTGAATTTTGTGGTAAATGATGGCTTCAGAGGAAAAGTTATTTTATGTTTGAGTTAGAGCGTTTTTTTATTTTTAAAGTTTACTCTTTCAGTTTATTATGATTTCTTGAAACTCACACAGCTAATGATAATTATTTTCTGCAAGATAGAGAATATTTCCAAGTTAACCATAAGTAATAACAATAATAAGAATATTAATTATAACTAATAATAATGAGCAAGGAGTATGAATAATTTATGTCAAAAAAACAACTGACGAAGTAATGGGATTGTGATTATAATTATGATTATGTTCATGTATAATAATAATATATAAATAATTAATAATAAGATAGCAGTGAGTCATTAGTGATTAAATTGTTGAGTGAAAATAAGTAATATGGAATGGGAATCCTGAAATCAAATTATGGGATCAGAATAAGTAAATACGAGCAAAAAATATTACTGATCAAACTGTAGGATCAGGATAAATGAAAAAGATAATAATAGTACTAACTGTATTATGGAGAGAGAGAGAGAGAGAGAGAGAGAGAAAGTAAATAAAAATAAGACAGCAATAATATTACTGATCAAATTATGGGAAGGGAATAAGTAAGTAATGATAAGAATATGACTGGCCATATTTTGGTATGAGAATAAGTAAATTACAGTTAGCATCACAAATAAAAAAAGATAACACTACTATTGATTATTATTATTTTTTTTTCTTTAATTTTTTTTTTATAGATTATTATTACTAATATTATTGATTGTTATAGTAATACTACTAATTATACTGATCAAATTAAGGGATAGAATAAATAAATAACAATAAAATAGAAATAACATTACTTATCATGTTATTAAATTAATAAAAAGCAGAAATCAATTAAGCAATACAGAGTATTTCAATGTTTCATTTTTGCAAAAGAAAAAATTCTTTCCTACAAACATTTATCAAATTAATAGTTACGTAAAAGTAATTAGAAATTTTAATGCTTGTGTTTCAGGAGTGGAAAGACATACGATGAGTGAAGAGTGTAAAATATTTGCTGCATATTTTGGTACAATTGAGGTTCGACGAAGTGCTACAAAATCGCGCGTTATCCTACGAAATTATCTTCAACAAAGAGTATCACAATTTCAGATAGATGGTCAAATTAAGGATGTATCTCACACTCATAATTACATTTTTGCTTTAGCACCATCAGATCATCGTATTTACACTCTTCGAATAGATTCATTTTTCGTTTATTCTCTCAATTTGGATATGGTTCCGGAAAATCCGAAATTT